CAGCCTGGTCTACAGAGTGAGTTCCAGGACAGACTCCAAAGCAATGTAGAGAAACCCTGCCTTGAGCCCCTCCACACACACATCCCCTCCCCCACAAAAATTTTTTTAAAAAGTGTAAATATAAAGAAAAATAAAAATGCCCTGGGCATTAGGAAGGTACTTTAGTTCCTTGAAGCTGGGGTCCTCTGCAGCTGCAAGGGCTAAATTCATTCTTACAGTGTCTCTGAGTTTTCTTTCTATGAACCCCCATCCACACCTCGACTTCCACAATACTGGATCATAGGAACCTCTTAGGTCCATTCTTATCCTCCTCAAATCTGTTATTCTTGGTTTCTACAATGTATGTTTAAAAGTACATTTTTTAAAAAGAACTTTATGCTGTTTTAGGGTATCTAATCTGATCTTATCCATCATTCTTTCATTCAGTGAACACTTCAGAGGATCTACTATGTCTAGGTCCTTACACAAAGGATACTGAGTACCTAAGCAGGGAACAGGACCAGAAGACATAAGCTATCCAGTAATGTCAGCTCCTTAAACATATGTCAACCAAGCCATCACTGCTATTATTTAGTTTCCAACTTATATCCTTCCCTAAAAGCACCTCCATACAAAAATCAAACTTGTCATGTGTAGGGATTGCTCATTAGTTATACTGTAACAATTCCAGGCCCACAAAGTAACCATTACAGTAATTTCAAACAAAGGAAGACAGAAGGTCAGATGTGCTTTCAACACTAAATTCTATTACTCTCTTCTTAGCACACAACAAACAAAAAACAAATTCCAGCAAAGAACTATCCAAGCATGATCAAAGTGAACTTAAATAAGGACCCAGAGCCTCCGTACAGTTCCAGAGTCAAGAGGAAACTGCTTGAAGCCATCATGTGACTTTTATGATTCATTCTTTATGAGCCATACAGCTGTTTATAACTATATAACTATGTTCTCTGGAGGACAGCCCCTCACCCATGCATGCTTGTCTCCACGACGATCTCAAAGCTACGGGAACAGGAGAGCCCTCCCTCCTAAAACATTCAGAGTTCCTGGGTCTGAAAATGAGAATTACAAGGCTCCAAACATCACTCACCCTAAAACAAATTCAAATTGCCCCCCAAACCAGGCATTTGACCTATAAAAGGAATTCTCCCTCTATTATTTTTCTAGCTTCCTTCACATGTATTCAATGCCTTTGCGTTCCTCACCTGCTGGGATCAATGTTTTTAATCCCACGCCCACCAGGTTCAGATGCCCTCACACGAGGACACAGCCTTTAACTCTACTTCCCATGTTGAGACTCCCTTTTCACCCCCATCCACTTTGTAGGACACTATGTTAGAGACAGTGTGAGTCCTTGGCAGCGCGAATGAGAATCACCTGTGGGCATCTGCCTGGCCACCACGCCTCCCTCCACCACATCACCATTCTAAAGTCAAGCAGGAAGGTCGGAAACATTTTTCAGTCAACTTCCAAGTTTTTGTTTTGTTTTTTTTCCATTCCATAAACTCACAGACTCTAGCACCACTGGATAGATGGGCTCACGGCCCCCAAACAAACTAAACCTTAAATAATCACAAAAATCATAAAAACCCTTTTCTTTAGACGCCCCCCCCAAAAGTCAAAATCACAAAAGCCAAACATTTTCATGTAAATGCCCTTGTCAGAAGTGACTGAAAGAGTGACAGCAGTGTACTTACCTTATGTCTTCCTCGGAAGACATTTGCAGTGGCCCCCTGGCCTAAGATGTCAGACAAGAGCCACAGATGGTTAGGAGTACTCTGCATCTCGGCTTGCTCGGACACTTCTCCTCACACTGACGGGAAAGAAGAGGTTTGCATGTATGCTGTTCAGGAAAAAACACAGCCAAGAAACAAATGTTAGCCACATTTGGTCTGAAGTGGGAATACTCATTATTTATTGCCAAGCAGACGTGCATAAACATTAAAATATGTTTCTAACAATACTGGAGGATAAAGCGCTGTGTGGACATTATAGGGGAAAACCCTCAATATTAAACCACTGACACACATCCAATTGCTTTTGCTATGCTTTGGAGATGGTGTTTTACGGTATTCCCCAGTCTGGCCGGGAGCTCTGCATATAACCCAGCCTGGTCTTTTGCCTTGGCCTCTGGAATGATGGAATAACAGGTGGACCTGGCGTCTCTGTGGATGAGTGTACAGGTCTGTGGGTGTGATGCAGGAGGAGGTGGGAGGGTGTCGGACCCCCAGAAGCTAGAGTTAGAGGCAGCTGTGACCCACTTGCTGTGGGTGTTGGGAGCTCAACTCCCATCCTCTGCAAGAGCAGCAAGTGCTCTTCAACACTGAGCCATTCATCTCTCCACTACCCCATGTCGGGCATTATTTCTTCATATATTCAATTTAATTTGCATCTCAGAGATGGAAAAAAATCCCTTCATTATCTAATATTGTCTCTGTCAATTAGAGTAATACTGACTATCTCCTCCAACTGTTTTGAAAGATTAACCATTGATTTATCAAAAAAAAATTGACCCACAGTCTCCTTATAGTCCAAGTTGGCCTTGAACCTGCAATCTTCCTGCCTCACCTCCCACATGCTCAGAGGTAAATTAAAGAAATTAGGCTAGCACAATAGTAGCAGAAAACAATCATCACTGCACTATAGTTCCATAATGCAAACTTTCATCTACAGATGAATCGAGCAGCACAGGATTTATTATTCCTGAAAAGTCAGTAACTGCTCTGATGGTGTTTAAGGACAGCTTCCTGGGCCAGCGAAATGGCTCAGTGGGCAAAGGCGCTTGCTGCCAAACCTGGCAGCTTAAGTTCAGTCCCTGGAATCCATGTGGCAGAAGGAAGAGACCATTTGTGCCACAGCAACCAAGAGCCTCAACACACAATAGATAACATTAAAAAACATTAAAAAAGCAGTCATTTCCCTAACTCCTAAATAGACAGGAATACACATACCAAGTACATATAACCAAGTCTTAAAACGCGACAGCAGCAGACTTGTCCTTGAACATGGGAAAGCTGTGCAACCCAAACAGTGGCACAAAGCTAGACACATCAGACTCCTACCCTGCTTTAAGTTCAGGGCACAGAAATGATCTTACAGGCCACTGTCCCTGAGTCAGAACCCCAGTCAAGTGGTCAAGGGTCCAAGTTTCACCAACCTCTTATACACCAGCTGCCTTTATAATTTTATCACTTATGTAATTTAGATTAGCAATTGCCCATCTGATCTATTTGAATTAAGCCATAATAACACTCCCTGGCCAGATGTTCTCTCTGTGTGTGGGAGCCTAGGACTCCCTTTTCATAAGTAATACATGCATTTACCAGTTACTGCATTTCGTTCAAGTGGCAGTAAACCCAAATATGTAATGGAAAACCTTCCCTAGTTGATGTTACATTGCTGTCAGATAGCTGAATGACAGACAATATCATCAAGCATTAATTTGGATCTGGTCGATAATTGAAAACACGCTTAGCTGGGATACCCGCTCTCTATATACCAATATAAAAAGATGGGTCCACCAGTGATGGTTTGAAACTTTGTTCCACTAACCCCCTCATGACTAAAACATGACTCAGCACACCCACCAGATGCTTGCCATCAAGTCTCCACAAATTTTGACAAGCGTATAAACAGGCATTCAACAAGTACATTATTGGCGACGCCGTCGTCAGTCTGCTTCCTTTAACTGTTTAAAACGAAAGTTACCGAGGATAAAACAGGTTAGGCGGCATGGGGTCCGGACAAAGTTCCAGGATTTCCAAACTCTACTTCATTTATTGGGTAGACAGTAGCGGTTCCGGAGTGGAAAAGGGTCGGGTTTTGATTATGCATTTGACAGAACCTGTCCCTGGGACGACTGACAGAAAATAGCAGGGAAATGGATGAGGCAAATAAATCCCAAAGCCCCAGGTGAAAGAGGAACTAGAAAACATAGGAATTTGCTTCTTTTTTTTTTCTTTTTCTTTTGCCTGTGTACATCAAGAAAAACCCCGTCTCGTCTTGTGCCGGCAGCCTCGGGTGAGTCAACCTTTGAGAACGCCCGTTCAGTCGCCGGTCCATTTAAAACATGGTGTCTGCTGGGCCAAGGGTGCGAGCGGCGAGTCAACTCCGGGCTGGGCAGCCGTCCTGCCCCGGCCGCCAGGGCCCAGCCGGGGCGAGCGCGAGGCTGCAGGACCCTCAGGTCCGTGGCCCCCGCTCTGACTCAGCACCTTGCCTGCTCTCCGACCCCGGAGCGCGCCAGCCCGCTCCGCCCGACCCCGCCCGACCTCTCCCGACCCCTCTTACCCAGCCGCGTCTCCGCAGCGTACAGCCCGCGGCTCCGGGGCCTTCTCGCGCCCCAGGCTACTTCCGGCTTCGCCAGCCCGGGCCACGGAGCACGTGACCGACGGCGGGGGGGCGGGGCGCGCCTGCGCGTGCGTGCGTACTCCTGCGAGCCTATGGGGCCGCGGCGGTCGAGCTTCCAGGCTGCACTCCAGCCGCAGGTGCGGGATGGGGCTTACCCCGCGGGCGGAGCTCGGGACCTCTCTGCACCGCAGATGACGGTTCGGGTTCTCGCAAGTGCGGCACGGCGGCGACGCCCACGCCTACAGCCACAGGTGGGCACAATGCTGGCCGCTGAGGACTTGTGCAGAGTCGAAGGTTGGGAGGGAGCTGATTTGTGTTTTAAACGTCACTTGACTGCATGGGAGCAAGAATCGGTTCATACTGTCCGTTCTGTTTTTGAAACCCGCAATACTGCTGAGTTTAAGCACTGAACTTGACAACTTAAGCGCTCAACCAGTGCTATGATCAGGTCCTGCTCAAGGCAGACTCCAGGGGGTGGAAGGTGTGAGTTCTGAGTAGAGGAAAGGAAGGGGTGGGTCCCAGAGCAGATCTACAAGGAGGCAGATTTACACAGACAAGGGGCCAGAGTCTCCACCCACTCCTGACCTGAAACTCCCTGCCTGTTTTCATTAAATGTACAATGGAGATTTAAAAAAAAAGCCCAATCCAACGAATTCTTAGAAAGGAAGTTATTTTATTAGAGTTTTAAACAGTTTAGGCAATGAAATCATTCTAACAGCAAATGTACTTTCTGCTTACAATTAAAACCTATTTCAGTTCTGATAATGACATGAGTGAGTGACAGGTCCATCCAAGTTTCTTCCAACAGAAAAACCCACAGCTCAAAACTTATGGAGGAAATATGACTAAGCCAAAGGACTTCACATGTTTACCACGTAAGTCATACACATTCAAATACCACGTAGTACTTTTGTAAAAAGTCAAGCCACTTGAGAGCCCATTAGCAAGCATCGAGACAGAAGCAAATGGTTAGGCACAGGACTAAATCAGGCACCATAATACCCATGTCTTTCTGATTTCTCACCTGTAACAAATGAGATTCATTCTTGAGAAAATTATTTGGGTGCTTGCTTTTAAAAATAAGGTACTTAATGATGGAACAGGTTCCTGTCATCACGGTAACCTCAAGGAATGAAAATGAGCATTTTTATACATGATTACATTGACATGAAGTTCCTTACTCACACACTCTGATTTCCATGTCCTGATTCCTCAGGTCTAAACACATGTGAATCTATTGTAGGCTTTTAGAGAGTCATGTATGGACTCAACAGTACAGTAATGCAAGCTAATACTGAGACCTATGTTTTAGCTCATTGAATTCTTAACAAATTATGAGGTAGCTACCATTATTTCCCCCATTTCTGAGGGGGAAACCAAGGCAGGAAGAAGTCATTTAACTTGCTCAAGGTCATAAGATCAGTTACTGGTGTAAGTGGTGTTTGAACCTACTTGGGTCCAGAGTCCACAGCATACAAGGTCTTTTTCACGACTACACTTCACTACTCACTACAACACCTTGCACAATCACTGTTGCAACAGATGCTACTGCATCTCACAGTGCACAGTGCCTGTCTTGTTTTGTTTTTGAAGCCGAGTCTCACTCCAGCCCAGACTGGCCTTGGCCTCCTCTAAATTTGGTGATTATAAGCATGAGCCACCAAACCTGGCCCACTTAGCTATTTAAAAAAGAGAAAAATATTATTTATTGAAGCACTATACATACTTCACCAATCTATTTTTACCATTCAATAGAAGACTATTCTTAGCTGTCAATTTTACTGCCTTAATTGTATGTTAGGAAAATGCTGACTTTCTGGTGGAGCTAAAATCAGAAAGTCATGTGCATGATTTAGAATAAAATAGGGGGCGGGGCGCTCAGCAGGCAAGAATGGGGACCTGAATGTGGAACCGCAGCACCCACATAAGAGCTGGGACAGCCAACATCTGCAACCTGAGGACTGGGACAGCCAACCTGGCTGAAACTCTGAGCTCCGGGTTCAGTGGAAGACAGAGAAGGTTCTCATCCCCCCCCCACACACAGAGACAGACAGACAGACAGACAGACAGACAGACACACACACACACACACACACACACACACACACACACACACACACACACACACGACTTTATGGGTCATAAATTCACCGACAACACACAAATCCCCCCTGAAATCTTTGTCTCCTCTCTATTCTGTGGGTCTAGGTTTTCAAGCAAGAACTCTACCATTAAGCAATATACCCAACTCCCTCTCAAGAAAGCCATCAGGCTTTTACCTACTACAATGGTAAGGCAGGTTCAAGCCCAGGCTTGTCTCAAACTCACTATGTAGCTGAGGACAGCCCGTGACCTCTCTCTCTCTGTTCCTCTGCCTTTATGCAGTGCTGGGGATGGAACCTGGGACTCTGCGTGCTTGGGCGTCAGACCCAGGCCTTCACTGGGCCTTCACATTTTAAACTTGCATGTCTACAGCTAAGCTGCTGTCCCTCCTTTCCAATGCTCCTTCCCTGCCCACTACTCTTCTACGTTTCTCCTGTGGCACGCAGCAGTGCTTGTAGTAATTAAGTAGTAACTGACTACAAAAATCATAAACTCACAGGTGGTCAGACCTGGTGATTCACACTTTTAATCCCAGGAGCTAGGAGGCAGAGACAGGCAAATCTGTGAATTTGAGGCCAGCCTGGTCTATATAGCGAGACCCAGTCTCAAGACAAAAACAAACAAAAAACCAAGTGTACTGTACTGTACTGTACTGTAAGTACACCTCATATCATAGAAAAACACTGGGATTTATAATCCCATCAAAGATTCACAGAGGTGGCTTCTAGTGCATTTAAAAAGACTAACTTAACAGACCTAAGTTGAGTGACATTTAGGGGCATAGTCAGTGAAATAAGGCATCCACATTCGTATCTGCAAACCTTTAGGTGGGAAATCAGAGAGTGATTCAGGTGGGAAAATGAGGCTACTTATAATAATTCCGGAAAAGACTAGATATATTTAACTATGTAAAATTTATTTTTTTATAAAAATGTGTAACACCAGCAGCTACTTTTAAACCGACTAATTTAGGAACCCACTCTCTTATAGGATACACATTGGCATTGAGACAGTTTGAAGAAATGTAATGGCTATCTACAAAAATGACGTTTTGATTGTTACGTCATAGCTTATGTCTGCACACACAAAACTGAACATTTCCAACTTTACATTCAATCGTTAGAGTCAGTTTCCCACTGCTATAGTTTCTTTTTTAATAAAGAACTTTAAAGTTTCATATAAAGAAAAAAATTAAGGTACTAGGATAAATCTATGTCTTATAACAGCATTTTTACATAAACAATTTAAACGGGCATGCAGGCAACTTTTCTCGTTGTCACATGCCTGTATTTAGGGAAAAATTACACCCATTTTACAGAGAACCCCACATACACAGCCATAAACTCAGAACAATGTTAACAAGTGTGAATGGTACACACAAACTGCTCCTTAAGTCATTAACTGGATTCCTGGCCATGACACAGGGTGGGGATCCAGTCCTCAGGGCTTTGCTCTCTGGAAGAACACCTGCAAAACAGTATGGAAACAGCACAAGTGTCAGGCAGGATAGCTAGCTCTTCCAGGGTCCAAATGCTAGTCACCCCTTGGGAACAAACAATGTTGCTATGAGCAACAGCAGTCAGAGCAAATAGCTTTTACTTTTTATTTACTGGTGAAATTAACAGTGGAAAATTAAAGTTAAGAAAGAAAAAAGTCAAAGTTAAGATAGAAATCTTAAGCCTTAAGAAAGTTACTATATATTTGGTGATTAAAAGTTATTCCCAGTTTAGTATATGAGATGATAAGAGTGGGCTAGAGGCCACGCTAAACCCAGCCCTGCAATGCAGTGCATCTGCAGTTACATCATTAAATGAACACTAGAGATGGCCCTGGCCGGCAGGGAGCTCATGGAGAAGGTTGTGTACGGTGACAGAGAGATCCTGTCTCAAAATAAACCGAAACCATAAAGTGCCAGGAATGACCACTGAATGAGCAAAAGAAGGTTTTCCCAGGACACCATCTCAGTTAGCTGTAACTGTCAAGCTGAAACAGCCTAGAGCCACAGACAAGGAGTCTCAATTGAAGGATTTCCCAGATCACACTGGTCTGTGGGACACAGTCGGGATTGGTATTTCTTTCTTTCTTTCTTTCTTTTTTTTTTTTTTGCATGACAGGGTTTTTCTGTGTAGCCCTGCCTGCCCTGAAACTTTGTAGACCAGGCTGGCCTCGAACTCAGAGATCTACCTGCCTCTGCCTCCTGAGTGCTGGGACTATAGGGTGCATCACCACCACCCAGGCTGGACAAGCCAGCTGTGGCATACTATTCCCTGGGGAGGTGGTCCTGGACTGGGTAAGGAACTAGCTGCTCGTTAGCCTGTGACGACCCAGCAAGCAGTGTTTTTCCATGGTTTCTGCTTCAAGTTCCTGTCCCGCCTGTCCTCACAACGAACTGTGACCTATAAGCTGGTCTTCTTCCCTCAGCTGCCCTTGGCCTTGGCATCTGTCGCCTCACCAGAAGAAAACCAGAACAGAGCATGCAAAGGTACACCAAGAACAGCAGAGTTCCTAGTGGAGGAGGACTGACCGTTCAAGAATGGTAAAGCTAATTCTTGCAAGAGGAATAAAATGTGTCTGACATCAGAATATGGAAACAATGGAAGCCCAGATAAGCAGCATGGATTTATCTTAGTAGCATTTCCAGGAAGAGCAACGGACGAAGGAATACTTGCTAGACCAGCCAGGCTAGAACAAGGAAAGGAACTGAGTGAGCTATTGTGAAGCATCCGACAGAACAGGGAATAATCAGTAGAGTGATCAGGCAGATAGGAAGGGAGAAAGGACAGAGACTGCTTTGAATCAGAAGAAAATGCTAACACTGAGGTACTGCTGAGCCAAGCCTGTCAGTGCTGTACTTATGAACAAACACACCCGAGCACAAGCAAGCACTCTGTGGTGCTCCAGGACTTCCTGTTACCTACCAAGTAGGAGTCAGGCATTTTCAATGTTTTCCCTTTTTTCTCCCAATGTTAAGAAAATTAAAACAAAAAAACTAAAAACAAAACCCTTTTCATTTATGCTGATAACTCTCGAGGGACAATGTCAGAACCGAAAAGGATAGCAAATACTTTTGACTTATAAATTATTATTATTTTTATGCTAAGAATTACACCCAGGGTCTTGTACATCGTGGATGTTAGAACCGAAAAGGATAACAAATGCTATCCTTAGTCTAGTTTGTATTATTATTATTTTTTTATAATATGCAAAGAATTGCATCCAGGGCCTTGTACATGCTAGGCAGGTGTTCTAACACCGTGGATGTTAGAACCGAACCGAAAAGGATAGCAAATGCTTTTGTTTTATAAACTCTCCTTAGTCTAGTTTGTAGTATTATTATTATATGCTAAGAATTGCACCCCGGGTCTTATATATGCTAGGCAGGTGTTCCACCACTACCTACAGGCATCTCCAGCAACTAACTTGAGCCAGGGAGCCACTTACTTGTAACTTGTTACCAAGAAGAGTAGTATGGCGTTGCTTTTCAGTTTAATGTAAGTATTAAGTACTAATGTGACTGAGCTCCTTGCACAGGACAGTCACTTGTACCAGTAATTGCAGCTTCTGGTGTCTGGTACATAACAGTCTTGATTTTGAAAAGTAATCTTCGCCAGGTGGTGGTAGCACACGCCTTTAATTCCAACACCCAGAGGCAGACAGGTGGATCTCTGTGAGTTCAAGGCAGCCTGGTCTACAGAGTGAGTTCAAGGATAGGCTCCAAAGCTACACAGAGAAACACTGTCTCAAAAAACAAAACAAACAAAGCCAGGCAGTGGTGGCGCATGCCTTCAATCCCAGCACTTGGGAGGCAGAGGCAGGCAGATTTCTGTGAGTTAGAGGCCGGGCTGGACCGACAGCATCCAAAACAAAACAGAGAAACCCTGTCTCGTAAAACCAAAAACCAAACCAAAACAAACAAAAAAAAAAAAAAAGGAAAAGTAATCTTCAGCTGTTTCTCCCTAGTTTTAGGCATGGTCTCACTATGCAGCAGAGGCTGACCATATTAATTTGTGTTCCTCCGACCTCCATCTTCCAAGTGCAGGGATTACTGGCATGCTTTTGAATGTAAAAAACAGCCTTGTTGGTCAAATCCAAGGGATATCCTTTTTGTTTGCTATGCATCCAATTGTAATTTATATGTCTGCTTTTGTAGTGTTACATCCTTTCAACTTAATATGAACATTTCCTGTTCCTTCCACCTTTTAGTATCCATTTAATTATATCATAAAACAATAAAACAAGAAGAAAACCCCAAACCTTGGTATGTTCTGGCTGTTTAGACAATTAGTGCAAATACCCAAATTCAAACAGTTTTCCAACAGCTTAGTTCAAAAGGGGATACACAAAACTTCTGCAATTCCATCTTTTAGGATAAAGAGACCCCAAAGTGAGTGAGTGAGACTCTGCACCCTCAGACATTACCTTGCTGCATAAAGGCAGGGACATCCCCCAAATACCTACCTTTAGGTAATTTTTAAAAACTTTAGCATCAGGCTGCTGAAGTGCTTGACAGAACTCCTGGGGGGGGGACAAGAGAGGGAAGAGAAGTAGTAAAGTCCGTTAAATTCAAGCCTGTAACAGTCTTTTTGTTTTAAGTTGTGGTTGATGAACACATCTTTCCATGGCAGCCATTCTACACGCACAGTACAATGTTCCCTGGTATGCGGCAGGCAGGTCTCACAGGGTTCCTCACCTGTAGACACCAGCACCTATGCCCACTGAACACCTTCTCTCTGGCACCCACAGCAGCCACTATGCTCTTTGCTTTGCTGATTCTGACTACTTTGGATCTCGTCAGGATGGAGGGTATGATTTTTTCTGCCTAAGTAACAGACACTAGCTACCATAGTGTTCCCAGTGTCACCTATGTGGTAGCAGAGGACATTTCTTTCTTCAAGGCTGAATAATACCATTGCAAGTATATTTTCTTCATCCAGGCACCTACCGATGGGCAGTAATGTGACTTCAAGTTCACTGTAGTCTATTATACAGCTCATCAAATCAAGTCAAACCAGAGGTCATACATGGGACTTGCAAACACTACATCCAGATAATTACATGCCTGGGCTGCCATGCCCGCCTCAATGTTTTCATTTCAAAAGCATGGAATACTCCAGGATAAGAAAAGAAAGCAACTGGGATGAACTTCGCTGTTTTAAAAGGATGTATTTGCATGTGTACAGACTCGCATGAGTTTATGTGTACCACAAACCCTTAGAGGGCAGGTCAGGGCACTGGATCCCCTGGAACTGCAGCTACAGGTGGCTGTGAGGTGACTCGTGGGTGCTGAGAACTGACCCAAGTCTTGGACAAGAGCAGTCAGTGCTCTTAACCACTGAGCCCCAGGAACTAGATTTTTACTATGTTTAGTTTGGTAACAAAACTTAGTATCTTTCTAGGGTAACAATGTAAGTAGCACTACCCAATCACTCATAATTTCAAAACAGTGACACACACAAATCTTATTTCTAAGTATCTCCAACCTATATGCCATGAAAATATATGTGATGCCAGGCTGGGGGGATTCCTCAGTTGGTAAAGCTCCAGAGACCAAACCTCAGAACCCCATACAAATACTAAGGGTGCTGGCAGTCATGGTAACCCCAGCACCGTGGAGGTGGCAACAGAGGCTTGCGGACCAGCAGCTCTAGGGGAGCCAGAGGCCCATGAAAGATGTCTCAAAGAAGGTGGACAGGGTCCCTTAGGAAGGCACCTGAAGCTCTCTTCCAGCCTCCCCACACATGCACACAGAAAAGGAAAACCTGATTTCTGTTAGGTATGGTTATGGCCAATGTTATTATTATTGAGACCTGTCATTTACTGAATGGTAGGAAATTGGATTTATAAGAATAAAAACATAAAATTGTTCCCATTCAGTTTCATGGATTACTTAAGTCTAGATCCAGGCTATTGACAGTAAAACAAGCTAAATACTAGCTGGTTTTCTTGAACTAAACTTTAGTATGCATTCACATTTAATAAAATTCGAGCAAAATCTCTTAGGAGAGTTCTTACCTGAATTATTTCTGGAGCAACCTGTAAGGAGGGCAGGTATTCTTGTTGAAGATACTGAACACACTCAGGGCCCTGTGAATGAAAAGAACCCAGTTAACTAACTTCCTTCTGGGCACTGACGGTGCTGGGAGATTAGACCAACCCACCTACCCAAGGGCATTACAGTATTAGGATAAGGACACAGACTCTAGGTCAGACTGCCTTGACCTGAAGCCTGGCTCTATGCCAATTTGAACTAACTGCTCTGAGTTCCAAGTTCTCCATCTGAAAAATTAAGGTACTGGATGGATCTGATGAGCTATAATAATATCTGTGTATGTTATCTAAAAATAACTGTGTAAGACATAATATACAACAAATGTAAATTTCTTAGAGGGATACTTAGCATTCAGTACATGTTAACATGTCTGGTGTCTTCGTATAATGGGTCTCTCATTAAATCCGGAGTTGGTAAATCTGGCTTGTCTGACCAGACAGTAAACTCCAGGGATGGTCTACCTCCCCAGGCCTGAGATGAGATCACAGACGTGCACAGCCGTGTCTGACTATTCCGTGGGTGCTGAGGACCTAACACAGGTCCTTATGCTTGCATACTAAGCACCTGATGGGCTGAGGCATCTTCCCTGGCCTGCATCTGATAACTTTAAGGGCTTTACTAAGATGATAGTTCCACATAAAACCAGTGGTCCACACCTAGCATTGGGGAGGCTGAGGGATGAGGACTGCTCTGAGTGTGAAGTCAGTATGGCTATGGAGGAAGACTTTCAAAACAACCCAAAGAGTGACCCCTTTAACATCTGGGTTCTTCTGTTTACTATTGTAAGTACTTCTATAATAAATCACAGGGTTCCTTTATCTTTCCTTTCTACCTTGACTACCTATAAAGTCTAGGTCTCAACTTCCTGTCCCCTCAGAGGAAGTCTGTCATCTGTGGGGAAGGAATACCACACTGGTTCTCAGTTCTCTTCTCATCTTCCCTGTTGTCCATGCATTCTGCGTATTTCCAACACACTGCTCGCCACTCCATACAACTGTATTATCAGTTAGTCATACACTTGTGTGGACACTGACACACACACACACACACACACCAACTAAAAACACATACGCATAATCAAAGATAACTTTTAAAACTGAGATAGCTACCAAAAAGTAGAACCCACACTAGGCAGACAGTAGTAACAGAGTTCAATTCCCAGCAACTGCATGGTGGCTCACGACCATCTATAATGAGATCTGGTGCCCTCTTCTGAATTGCAGACACACATGCAGGCAGAATAATGTACAAATAATAAATTTTAAAAAAAAGTGAGGCTTAATGAGAAGTCTTCAGGACATTTGGGAGACCTGCCCTTAAGTAGAATCCTGGAATTTGAGCTGGGTGTTGGTGGCACACACCTTTAATCCCAGCACTCGGGAGGCAGAGGCAGAGGCAGGCGGATCTCTGTGAGTTCAAGCCCAGTCCGGCCTACCAAGCGAATTTCAGGACAGGTTCCAAAACAATACAGAGAAACTCTGGTCCCCCCCCTACACACACAAAGATAATATTCCACACCAGGAGGGGATTCATCTTTATGCATTTTTTTTTCCGGGCAGCACAGCAGTCCTCACGCTATCTAGAGTAGCACACACAGGTACAGAGGAAATGCTGTTGGACTGAAAACCTTCAGCCTTCCTTCCGAACAAGAGACTCACACTCAGAGAAGCAAAGGTGACGAAGCAGATTTGTTCTTTTACAGGGACTATTTACAGGTTACTCTGCAGCTAACTGCAGCTCAGGAAATGCTGGTCTGTGCTGGCTGGGTCAGAGAAGTATGAAATTGGAATTTTTGATAGAAGGGAAAAAAAGTACTTTTTAAATGGCAACTAATCAAATTATCTGAAAATACCTACAGTTTCTTAAATTTACACACATGATTAAACCGACAAGAAAGAACTCAGTATTTATAAGTAACAGAAGTCTACTCATTTATACCTGCAACCCCAACTCGTAAGAGGCTGAGGCAGAAGGACTACTATGAGTTCAAGCCAGGCTGGCTACAGTGTGAAATCCTGTCTCAATAAACCGATAAAAAAGTAAATTCGCAAATAAAAAATGAATCAATTAGTGAGGCATTGTAGTTCATGCCTTTAATCCTAGCACATGGGAGGCAGAGGCAGGAGGACCTCTGAGGTCAAGGGCAGTCTGATGTATGAGCTCCAAGACAGTGAGGACTGTTAGACAGACAGACAGACAGAGACAGACAGACAGACAGACAGACAGACAGACACACACACACACACACACACACACACACACACACACACACACACACACACACACACACACACGACTAGAGTAATATAGCTCAGTTGGCAAAGTACTTGTTTGAACATGGGCACCTGGGTTCCACCCCCCAACACCCACCTTAATTACAAAAAGCCCAGGTGTTGAGGGATGCTTCTAGCCCCAGTGCTAAAAAGGCAGAAACAATGGTTCCCTGACATGCCCTCCCAGCCTAGCCTATGAGTAAGCCCCAGGCCCTAGTGACAGACCCCTTTCAGGAAACACCTGAGGGTGACCCCTCCCCCACAGGCAGCCTCTGGCCTTCACATACACACAGACACAGAAATCTGCCTGTACAGAAGCTGAATGTTGAAATCAACCTGTGACCCACAATGTGAAGGGCAGTGATAGTCACTGCTAATTTCATCCCCCCCCACACACACAGGTGCCGAAGTCACCTTTCAATGAGTCAGACCCAGTGAAAGTGCAGTCCATATGGGACAAGCGTGAAGGAAGGAACATGGACTGTAGGCCTCACCCGTTTGAGATGAATCGTCTTCAGAGTCACAGCACATTCAGAAAGCGCCTGTAAAAAACAAGTTTCAAGTTTTAATACGGGCAGCTCATCATTACAAAACCACACTTTTATCCCTCCTGCCTCCAGGCTGCTGCAAGGAAAGTATACACAGCTAGTGTCTGCAGGGAGTAAGGAATGGTAAAGTAAGCAGGCTGCACAGAAGACAAACCACTGGGGACTGGAGGGAGGGCTCAGGGGTTAGGAGCACTAACTACTCTTCCAGAGGGCCAGGGTTCGACTCCCAGCACCCACACAGTGGCTCACAAACATCTGTGATTCCAGGGGGACCTGACACCCTCTCCTGGCCTCTGGGGACACTAGGCATGCACATGGCACATAGACATACATGGAAGCAAAATACCCATAGACATAAGAAGAAAAAAAGTGCAGTCCTATTGTATGGCTTTTACTCAACCACCAAAGTGAGAAAACAACTGTGTCCCATGAAGCTCTAAATGAGATCTGGCCTGTTAGCGCTCTTGATGGAGGGGAAGCTGCCGAGGAGGGCATGATGGTATCTGCAGACAGTGCCAACACTGCAGGCAGAGGCACGAGGACTGCCTGCAAGTCTCAGGGCAGTCTGGTGAACACCGTGAGATCCTGGCCAGCACAGAGCAAAGAAAGCCCTCTGCCAAAAACCAAAGTGAGGAGGAAGGAAAAGAGAGGAAACTGAGGAGGGAGGGAGAGGGAAGGAGAGAGGGAGGAAAACAGGGGTGGGGGGACAACAAAGAGGAGGGATGAGGCTTGGGGGTGAAGCACCTGCCAAATATGACATCCTTGTTGTCACCAGAAGAGGAAAAATAACTTGATGGATACCCTTGAAGCAGAATGAACCTGTGTTTAGAGAGGCTTCTATGAGATGAACAAAGACTCTGAGACGCTTACCAGCACCGTCTGTGCGTCGGCCAGGTCAAAGGTCTGCTTTAGAGGCGCTAGGAAACACGCAGGGACAATGTGCTTATAAACAAAGTCGGCAAATCCCACCGGTCCATCTTCGCCTCCTGTAAAGAGAACCCACACAAAAGAAGTCAGTCAGGCCCCGGAAGGGGAGAATGAGTCCTAGTTCCCGCGTCTGCGGGGATCACAGCTCCACTTCATTTCTAATAGTCCCATGAATCAGGTTTGGAAACAATTGTCAGGCTGGAGGGGTAGCTTGGCAGGACCGCTTCATCATAGAGTGCAAGGCCTTGGGTTCAAGTCCTAGCACTCAGGTTGGAGGGAGGTCAGGATAAAACCGCAAAACAAGAAAAAACAAGAAATCCATCTCACCCCAGAGCTCTACCAGCTTTGAGAGGATGATAAAACATGTTTTCTGTGCAATTGGATCCGGATACTCAACGGCTCCTTGGATAACAGTAACCAGCACCCGTTCTACATTCTCTACACCTGAGGAAAAAACTAGGCTTTAATTTCAAAAGGAAAGACACAACCTGAAGCATTCATTTCAATCTAGAAGGTTGATAAAATTCCTTCACGTCCTTCATAACCAAGCACCTAGGTCCTCAGCACCTAGAAGCCAGGATTCCCTTCATGTCTTGCTCTGTTGATTTCTTTTCCTTGGATTTTGCTGAGTGGACTAGGCTGGCCTTGAACTCACGATGTCTGCCTCCTTCCCACACCAATGCTGCAATTAAAGGCGCTATGAAAGAGAGTGGCCCCGTAGGCTCATATATTTGGATGCTTGGAACCATTTAGGAAGGCCTAGGAAGCAGGGCCTTGTAGGGGGAGGTGCCATTGGGGTTCAGCTTTGAGGTTTCAAAAGCCCACAGTATTCTCGGCTAACTCTGCCTTGTGTCTGAGCCTTCAACTACTGCTCCAGCTCCATGCCTGCCTGCCGTCATGCCCCCTGCCATGGTGGTCACGGACTCACGCTTTCTAACTGTAAGCGACAATAAGGTCTTTATTTTAGAAGTTGTCTTGGTCATGGTGTCTCATCCCAGCAATAGAAAAGTAGTTACGACTCTCACCATGCCCAGTTTGCCCCTCTTCCCTTCAAAGGGTGGCCCTCAATACTGTGTAGCCAGGAAGGCTTTGCACTTGACTGTCCGGCCTCAGCCCCCCCCAGATAAGTGGGGCTACAAACCCGCACCACCATGGTTGGCCAGTGTTATTTTCAATTTCAAGATGGCAAACTGTTGGGCCAATTCTGGCACATGCTCACTGTACCACTTTCTAGCAACTAAAGAATACAGGAAAAGAGAAACTGAATGCAAACTGATTTTAAGGTGCCCTCTACACGTGTAACTCACTTCTAGTCTTAAGGGACTGAACAATCTCATGGGGCGTACCACTGTGACAGGGACTTAAGCACACACACTGGGCGTGGTGCGCGTCCCTACCCTGATTTGCGATCACTTCGCTCATGCCACTGCCGGTGACCGTTTGCAGGAAGGCGAAGTAACTCCTTCTCAGCATTTGCTTCTCCAAGGCAGCCGACTGGTCGTTATCTTCTGCCGGTCGTAGCAGCACTTCAAAAATGGCATGAAGCAAGGGCATGAACATCTGCTGTAAAAACGGGGATACCTGGATCTGGAAAGAAGAATAGCTGTCATTGCACCCCAGAAGTGAAGAAAACCACCGTGAGGTCGGAGAGCTGTGCTAAAACAGCTCTTTGCTGACTATGGAGGCAATTTACCAACTCAGTAAATTTATAAACACATACACTACCCCAAAACTCAAGATTAAATTCAACATGGGGTTGGAGACATGGCTCAGGGGTTGAGAGCATTGGCTGCTCTTTTCTAGAGGACCTGGATTCAGTTCCTAGCACCACCAGTGACTTCCGTTCCAAGGAATCTGATGCCCCCTTCTGGTTTCTCCAGGCAGTGCATGCCCATGGTGTGCACAGGCATGTGTTCAGGCCAAACACCACACACATAGGAGTAAATCTTCCTTGTATCTTAGAATTTTGGTTGTATGTAAAGGCACTTATTCTGCAAGTCTGGCTACCTGAGTTCCACCCCCAGAACCCATGAAAAGATGGAAAGAGAAAACTGATTCCACAATGCTGTATTCTGGTAACATTCTTGTTAAAATATCTGGGGAGGGGGGCTAAGAGATTGAGAACACTTGCTGCTATTGCAGAGGGCCTAGGCCCTTTCCCCAGCACCCACATAGAGGCATGCAACTCCATGTTCTGCACCTGCAGTTCCAGGTGACTCTTCAGGCACCAGTCATGCACATGGTGTACCTACATACATGCAGGCAAAACACTCATACACGTAGAACATTTTTTTTCAAACTAGAACTCTGTGTAGCAGAGTTTGGGAATGTTAGCCATCCCATGCCCCGCATGACCAGGTAACTCAGTGTCATTTAAAAGGTAAATACAGGGCTGAAGGGGACTCGGTCTGCAAAGAGCTTCCTGTACACACGAGAACCGGAGTCTGAAATCCCAGGCCCCTGTTAACAAGAAGCGGGTCTTGGTGGTGCTCCCAAAGATGGAGGAGGAAACCAGGGCCAGCCAGTCAGCCTTATCAATGAGCTTCAAGTTCAGAGACAGACCACGTATCAAAAAGCAACATGGAAGGTAATGGAGGCCAACCATGGCCTCCACATGTTAAGAGTAACCCCCACCTCCACAACACACTATAAAAGGGTAAAACCTCAAAGGTATCTGCGGATGCATCTGTCTCATTTTAAGCCTGCAGAAGACTGGTAAGGCAGGCACAGGCGTCCTGTCTCTCTCTGAGGGTCTGTGGTACCTTGAACTTGGCCGTAATCTGGTTGATGAGTGGGATGAACTCCTGGAGGTCCTTGGCTTCGCAGTCCTTGAGCATGTGCTCCGAGGCGGACGGGATGAATGGGAGAACCTCCTCCTCCAGGCAAATGATCATCCGGTGGAGGAAAGTCCGAACTCCGCTTCGGAGGATGTCCTTTTGTAACGGACAGCTGAGGGCTGGCAGGAATGTCTGCAAACAGTCCAGGTAAACTTCGGAGCAGCCACACTGTTTCACAGTCTGCTTGTTGCTGAAAGCCTTGCTAGTTCGACTACATGACCAAAAACCAGACAATCAAGATAAGTCTTATTCTTCACAAGTTCAGAATATTAAAATACAATGCACAACAGATGGCAAGCTGACAACTCTAAGAAACCAAGCATTTCCTACACCAGAATTACTTTCCTCCTTCGTTAATGGTTATGTGAAAATGACTGTTTCCAGATGTCATCTCAGAACAAAACGCTAAATAAATTAAGCAAATAAGATGTAGTTAACACATTCTGAGTGTATCTTATCTGTTTCTCTAAGATCCTGACAAAGGCTTCAGAAAAAAACCGTGTTTACTGTGACTCAGTCATTAGGCAATCTGTCCGCACTACTCATTAAATTTAGAAAATAACCTAACGACATTCACAGCCAAGCCATTCGTATCCCAGAGGCCTAGTGTATACAGTGTAGAACAACTTCCCAGAATAACTTACTAGAATCATTTCAATTTTCATACTGTTAATGAAAAAAATGTACGTAAAGAAGTAAGGGGTTGCTTGGTGGTCTTTGGGACATCATGTAACAGCTAAGGAGTATCAGGACCCTCTCTTGAAGATCCCAACACTAAACCACAATGTCTTGGCATGATGTTGGCACAGACACTTTGGCTAACCTAAAACACAAGACTGATTGACACTAAAGTCAGAAGCTGGAGTACTAAGGATTTAGACAGTCTTCATGGTAAAAACACAGACAGTAAATGGCCTGTCCTCTTTGCTAACTACAGCTTAACTTACTATAAAGACAAGGGTGTGGACAATCTGAGGAACTGAGCTTTGAAAACAGTTAAGTGTGCCCATGCTAAAAAGATCCACAGAAGATGTTCTGTGCGCGCGCGCTTTACATTTTAATTGCTATTGAGCTCACCTGGCAAACCCAACTGCATGGTTGAGACTATCGGCAACAGATGCTTGTCTCTCTTCATCTTGCGCCATCATCAGTTTTTCCAACAGAACCTTAAACCTCTCCATCAGTGGCGTCAAGAGGTCCTTCATTAAGGCCCGCTTGTTTTCTGCTGGGTAGTCACTGTTAACAATCAAGGCGCCCGCTGTTTCGTAAATAAAGAGCTGATCGTCGCTGCTCAGCAAGGACTGGTAACCATTCTCCTAGAAGGGATTTTTGTCTTAATGTTTACATTTCAGTGTCTCTCACTTAACCCAGAGTACACAGGAGACACAGGAAATACAATCTGCCATATCAGCTCATATACCAAGCATTCACAAAAAAATGAAATTTCTGCTGGGCAGTGGTGGCACTCGCATCTTTAATCCCAGCACTAGGGAGGCAGAGGCAGGAGGATCTTAAGGCCAGCCTGGGCTACAAAGTGAGTTCCAGGAGAGACAGGGCTACCCAGAGAAACCCTGTCTCAAAAAACATGTATGTATGTATGTATGTATACACAAACACACCACATGTAAATCAACATGTACTTACAAAATTCTCAACTAAAACCCTTTTAGTGAAGTGACACTAACAATTTTTTCCCCTCCAAGACAGGATTTCTCTGCCTCTGCCTCCCTAGTGCTAGAACTAAAGGCATGCACCAACAAGGCCCAGCTATGACAGAATTTCTTAAACACTAAATCTGAAGACAAAAATTTCAGTGTTAAGTCCCACCGAGAATGACAAATATGATCACATTAGAGACTAATTTAGAAGTTGATTTCTTGCCGGGCGGTGGTGGCGCACGCCTTTAATCCCAGCACTCGGGAGGCAGAGGCAGGTGGATCTCTGAGTTTGAGGCTGGGCTGGACCCACAGCCTCCAAAACAATACAGAGAAACCCTGTCTCATAAAAAAAAAGTTGATTTCTTTTCTTCTCCATTAAATAGTTCAGCTACATTTAACAGCACAGAGAAATGAGAACATACTCCACAATGACAAATTCCTTCCATTACTAATATGCTTGTCGTCAAATCTTGGTAAACAGATCCAAATAAACTTTGGACACACACACCCCCTCTCACTAGTTACAAACAAGCAAAACTCGAGAGAGTGAAGCTTGTCATAATGCCACAGGCAGACTCGATGAGACCTGGGGAAGACACCCGGAAGATACTTACAGGTGGAGAAAGGGTTAATAAGTCTTGTATTCTATTCAAAATGTCCTCAATGAAAGGGTTCATTTGTTTACTGAATGAAATCAAGAGGAAAAGCATGGGTAAGTAATGTGCTCACAAGCTGCTAAAGTAACACCCCCACTAAATCAGAAGGACCCAAGGGCTCAGTTTTATACTAGCCAATCTGATTGTGAGCAATCTGAAAGGTCTGCCTGCTCTGTAGTGATGTACGCCAAGATGATGTCTCCACTGAAGTACTTCTCACAGGAAAAAAAAAAGACACTTATAAAGATGCTGCGTACAGGGCTGGAGAGATGGCTCAGCAGTTAAGAGCACTGGCTGCTCTTCTAGAGGACCAGGGTTCAATTCCCAGCACCCACATGGTAGCTCACAACCATCTATAGTGGGATCTGATGCCCTCTTCTGTGGTGCAGGTATACACACAGAACACTCATACAAAAAAAAAGGCCTGGTCTACAGAGTGAGTTCCAGGACAGCCTCCAAAAGCTACAGAGAAACCCTGTTTCAAAAAAACAAAAGAGGAAAAAAAAAAAGATACGGCACACAACCTATTATGTTAGAAATGGATTTCAAACAGGGCATCATGGTGCAAGTCTACATAAAACTCAGTATTTGGGAGGTAGACAAAGGCAATGGATTCAGAGTTTGTCACCTCCAGGAGCAAGCAAACAAAAATCATGCACCCTGGTCTAGAGAGATGGCACAGCAATTAATGCATTTGCTGTGCAAACCCGGTGACTTGAGTCTTGATCCCACAGTGGGAAAGCTGTACCCCCACATACATCAAACAAACAATGCCCAAAACCTATAAAACATAACACATAAAAACATGCAAACAAGCCACCTGCCAGAGCTGAATGCAATAACCGGTCAGTCATCATGGAGAGAGAGATGCCCTCACACCAACACCCACCCCGTGCACCTGTCGGTGTGGGAGGAGCCTATCCCCTCAGCCACCTGCGTGCACACTTATAAACAGTGCTGAAAGCCGGTACTTACTTGAGAGATTTGACAAATCTAGAAAACAGGTAGGCAGTTCTACTCCGGACTTTAGCACTGGAATGCCACAGACCCCTGTGATCTAAGAAAGCCATCTGAAGAAAGAGACATTCATTATTTCTGGTCCGATTCAAGGACTTTATTGTCATACTGCATTTTTGCTCACATCAAATTGTACTTCTTGGGTGAGACTGGGAATGCTATTTTACATACAGATAGGCTTTTAAGGACATGATTTACATAAAACTACCACCCAGTGTCACTTGGGTAAACTTTTGACTCTGAGAAAAGTTACAAGAACAAGAACAGAGCACTGTCTGATCATTAAAAACCGGAGTGAGGTGCACACTTACTAGTACACATGGAATGTGCTGAGGTTCAACTGTGAAAAACTTTTCGTATCGAACAACGGTTTCAAAGAACTCCAGCGTCACAGACGTGTGCTGGTAGGAACTGACTCCTGACGTCACCAACTAGAAAAGGGGAAAAACCGAAGAGTTTTGTTTACTGCAGCGCCCACAACCCTCTGTAAACACACACCAAACTCCAATAATCAGAACCCTCTGCAAGCCCACAGCACAGCACAAAGAGCAAGTCACGTGTACAGCACAGGGCCCTCGGTATACCTACCGTTCGCATCATGTCCTGCAAAGCACTAGCTTTTGAAACGTCACCTGAGAAGTGAGCACCGTGCGACACCGGGAGGGCTTCTGCCAGCATGTACAGCAGCCTTACTGCCACCTCAACTTCCATGAAGCGTGTCGTCTGCCAGTTCCTGCCAAGGCAACAAGTGTGCGTCTGCTCACAGAACCCGCGATACTCGGGACGCTAACGCAACAACAGACTTCCTTCAGTGGCACAGCTGCCCACGCGTCTATAACCAACCGACCCCGTGAGACCCGCTCGTTACCAAAGCAGCAGGAAGAGGACAAGAGGAAGTAACAGTATGGGCGGAAGGGGGAGTTGAAAATGGCTGAAATACATTAAGTGCATGTATGGAAATACCATAATGAATAAGTTAACTGATATGCTAATAAAAACCAGTTTTTAAAATGTCTTGAATGATTTTTTTTTGACCAAACAATGTAGTCTATACCACAGAGGGAGACACAGGATAAGCAGCAAAACAGTTTCCAGGAATGTAAGGAGTGACGAGCACTGCACGACTCATTTAGAAGAGCCTGCTCCAACAGCAGAACTTACTGCAGCGTGGCACTGAACACTCTGCGAACAGAAGCCAGCACTAGCTCGGGTGACACCTGAGCGAGCCTGTCCAACAGCAACTTCAGCTGTTTTCTGTATTCTACAAACATGGCTTCATCTTCACCCTGAAATGCAAGTTAAAAGCCCGGTCTTAATGGTTTAAGGTGCCACCGTCAAGATGACACAGTGGTTAGGAGCACTGGACACAACGAGCCTGAGGGCTGTACTCCTTACCTGCAGCCCAGAGCGGGAGGAGGGAGTCGACCAAAGCCACCCTCCGACCTCCGCAGCAACACCCTGGCCCACCCTCTCGACAGTGATAAGTAAATAAGTAAAACTGAAGACCTTTACATTTACATAAATGGTCAATTCATGCATGCCTTTTATATTTGGATTGAAAAGAATCACGAATGCTCAGTAGCACTTCCCTTCCTGCTCACTAATTAGTAATTCTAAAATCAACAGGCGACAGGGGACAGGGCTGAGAGAACCGCCAACATGGGTCCACATTAGGCTTCAAGACTTGCCTATTGTCTTCAGTCACCTTTTATTTCCCCAGGATGCTAACAGTGTTACAACTGGGGCTACTATGCTGGGTCTTAGCACTGTTATCTTGTGATAGCACACACCTGAGTCACTCACGCCCTGAGTGTCCAGGAAGCACTGGACAGCTCTACAGTCAGTGGGAAGGGATCCTCCCATGACCCAGGACAGACTTAGATGAACAAGTCTAGGTAAGTCTCACTCACCTTCCTCCACTGACTGGGCCTCAATCTGGTACTCTTAGTAAATGTAGCACGAGATGAGATGTGAATAACAGTGTCAATTGTAAATTCAATGCTAAAAAGTATTATTTTTCCTTCTTTGGGTTGCTATAGATATAATCCAGGGCCTGCATGTAGTAAGCAAAGACTCTACCATTGAGCTATATTCCAAAGCCTGCAATTTTTTTAAGGTTCTTTTTTGTTTGTTTTGAGACAGGGTCTTATTTTGTAACTCAGCATGAGCCCAGGCTGACTCAACAGTTATGGCAGTATTTTTGCCTAAGGCTGCCAGCTGCTGGAATTTCAGGCATATGCCACCAAACCCAGCTTACAAGATTCTGTATATATGTGTGTGTGCGTGTGCTGACAAGCAGTCAGTCTCAGGAGCTAGTCACCTTTTGTGTGTGTGAGAGACAAGTTCTCTTATTAAGACTTGGGACTCAATGCCGTGGCTAGGCTGGCTAGCTAATGTACCCCAGGGGTTCACCGATGCTTGCCTTCCCAGCTCTGGACTGCACCACCAAATCCAGCCATCTACAGTAATCACACAGATCCAAATTTTTACACAGCAAGCACTTTACCTAATGAGTCACCTCTCCAACTTCTTACACAGCAAAGGATTCAGGTTTCCATAAGTGTCACCCCAAACTAACATTAATATAAAAATAACCACAGCAGTAAAAACACGACTTAGAACACTATTCCTTGTTTTACAAGGCTCTAAAATTAAAATATAAAATACTAGTTTAATGCAAACAAGGAAAAAATTGAAACCAGTTTTTCTTTGATGTAAAATTACTTACTTCATTTTCAAAGTTATATTCTTCATCATAAGTCAATTTTTTCATAACGGCCAACATGATTGCCTAAAAGTAATGAGGAAATACCATCTGTTAATTGTTCTTTCTCATCTGGAAGTTGAGCTATATTTCAAGGTAGACTCCAGACAAAGAATTGGTCAGCCTCGGATGGGCATCTTTATCGCTCACTCCAAGGCTCAGGGAATCTCATGAAAGGTAAGTGCTGTGTACAAATCTGAGTTAAAAACAATCCGTCCCGGAGGGAAGCTACCTGGGACTCAGGAAACAACTCACAAGGCCCTAAACTCGCCAGGTTCACTAAGCCCTCCTTCCTCAGGGCTGTTCACTCATGAGGGGCTGCTGGGAAGTCACCTCACCACTGCAGCCTCTGGGAGTAGCACCCAAAGCGGGGGGGGTGTTCTTCAATGATGTACTGTCTCTGTTCACCCACCATCAGGGAAAGAACCCCAGTAAACTCACTGATTTGGGGAAAGAAAATCTATCATTGGTTTAAAGAAACCACTTACCTCTATATTAGCTTTTTGCTGATCTGAGAGCACTGAAAGCTTAAAAGAAAAGCAAACAATTTATTTCTAGTATTATACTTGCTTATCAAAATCAACAATAATTATTTCTAATGTCATACTTGTTTATCAAAGTCGACAATAATTTATTTCTAATGTCATACTTGCTCATCGAAGTCAACAATAATTTATTTCTAATGTTATACTTGCTTATCAAAATATTTTTGTAAGCAATTACTATCTTCTAAAACAAACAGGGGAGCTGGTGGTACAGTTATGGCATAGAACATTTTCCAGCATGCACAAGTCCCTGGGTCCAATCTTCAGCATAACAAAATAAGATACACAAATTTCTGTTGAGTAGTTTGACAGCAAATCTACAGTTAACGGATTTCTAACTTCAGATGTAATAATTTCATGCCTAGTGAATACGTTGACAAACGGGCAATAATAAGATTAATTTGACAAGTTGTTTATCATGTATTTAGAAAGAACTAAGCTATAAGGCAGCAAATGATGTTTTGTTGTGGCTATGGCTAGCCCGGCCTTGAACTCACAGAGATCTGCCTCAGTCCCACCAACAGCTGACATTAGCACGCATGACCATGCTTGGCTTCTGAAAGCAAAGGCCACAGCTTGCACACCCTAAAACCCCTTAACTTCAGCACAGAAACAGCCGAGAACGGCGCAGCTTGGGATGGGAAGCAGCACACTGCAGGTTCCGGGTCCAGCCTCCAGCACCGCAAACAAAACCCAACCCCACACAGGGCTGGGGGATGGCCCGGCTACTACAGTGCCTGCTGCCCAAGCAGAGGACAGGTTCAGGTCCCCAACATCTGTGTAAGCCCAGCATGGTGGCATGCGTGCAAACAGGATGTGTCGGTGCATACAGGACTCTAGAACTCAGTGGCCGGCCGGCCTACAGTCAGTGAGCTCCAGGTTCAGCAAGGGCCCTGACTCAATGGGAAATGAACGAAGGCGACAGCCCACACTGACTCCTGGTCCTGATACTCACACACAAAGGCACATGCACGAGGACACACACACAATGCAGGACAACTATACTCCTCTTGCAAAGAAGTTACTTTAAGCTTGAATGAGTCAATTCACCCAATGTAAATCAAACCTAACAATGGTGGGGGAGACCTGTGATGATCGGTCTACTCAGCTATCGACCCTGTGTGTAACAGCAGCAGTGGGCCACGCACAATGTGCCCACTGATAAAGGGGCCCTCAACCACTTTCAAACTGGATTTGGGGCAGGGATTCACTGGAGGTACTGTACCCAAGACCGAGGCTGGGGAAAACACAAGCGAGAGAGGAGCCACTGCCACTGCCACACCCTCAAATACCTATGCCATGCCCACAGACAGTGCCGCTGTCTGTCTGCATTAGTCAGAGAAGCCCTACTTCTCAGCGGGTGGCAGTAACTGGGAAACAACTATCAGCAAAGAATTTAACAAGTTGTTGCTGTGCTTAGGAATGAATACAGGTTTAAAACAACAAAAAGAAAACAAAAATAATCCCGGACCACATTTATGACTTATGAACGTATTATGTCTTTTGGGGCAAGGGACTCCTGTTGCTCGTGGCTGGCCTTGAACTTGCTGTGTTATGCTGCTGGAGCAGACAATGGTGAAAACCTTCCCCCATTCTGAGTGCTGGAATCACAGGCATGGCTCACCAAGTCTAATTAACAGAATTTATATATATATAAAATTAAACAGGGATTATGGGTGTTTTCTTTTTGCTTTTTCTTATTTTCAATTTTTAACAGCTCTTTACATATCTACTGGACAAGAAGAACAAATTAACGACTCACCTGTTTCAAAATATGCAGATAATCATAACAAAATCCAATAATGTTTGAGGAGATGTCATCGTCCTCGTGAACTAGCAGCTGTAACATAAGTGGTACTTTTGTCTCAATAGCTTCCAGGGCCTCTTGCGCATTCTTGACAGCTCCGTTCTTAATTAACTTAGTCCAGCTAACTATTAAGGACTGTCCCATTCCATTTACCAGCTTAGAAAATCTGGCCACGAAGTCCAAATCTTCTTCCTATGAGCAGTAAGCAAAGACCACAGTTACAACCACCAGCCTCGGGAAAGAGAAAACCCTGACCTTTAGCGTGAATGCAGCGCCAATTTCAGGGTTCAGTCTCTGAAAACTCTATCATGTACTCTGTGGACGTCACAGAGGGTCAGCGTGGGCGTGGATGTGTCACTTCCAGGGCAGTTTTCAGGAGTCAAACTCAGGCCACTAGGATCAAGGTAAGGGTTTTTATCTGCTGAACATTTTGCTGAACCTAGAGCTCAATGTTATGACAACAGTTACCAACTCCATCACTATGCCAGGAAAATGATCAGAATTCGATTTTTCTGCTGCCATTATTATCTGATAGACCTCTAAAAGCAACTATGCTTTGCTTTTTCAATTAGAGAAGTACTTTGCACGTTTGGTGTTTTGCCTGCACCTATATCTGTGCAACATGTGTGTCTGGTGCTTAGAGGCCAGAAGAGGGCACTGGATTCCCAGGAGCTGCAGTTACAGCCTCTGGAAGAGCAGCCAGTGTTCTCAACCCGAGGCATTTCTCCATCCCTGCAACTGTGGTGTTAATGATAGTCCTATGGATATTACCAGTTTGGGGTGGGGGTGGGAGGAAAAAAGAGCTTAGGTAAAAGTAAGTTTTAAGAGCCGCCTTCCCTAACTGTAGCTATGATGTTGATACTGCCGCACTGCGGTGTAATGACTTAGGCCTCAACTTCCCTACAAAGACAGAGCTGCTACTATAGCAGCCCGCTTCAGTCACTGCCGGATGCGATAGGCAGACCCTGGTTATTTTCATTAGTTACCAATAAGCTGTTCTCCCACAGACAGAGGATCTACTTCTACTATTTTAGATTTCCTTTTCTTTAAAGAGCTGCAGATATTAAGACAATAGAAGGCAATAGAACTAGCTTCAGTGCATGAAGCAAGAACCTACTAAAGCCTTATTACTGACATTATCACCAATACAGAGATCTCTTAGGGACAGGCAGGGCTGCCACCTAGCCTGACAACCTGAGTTCCATCCTTGGGCCACACACACACACACACACACACACACACACACACACACACACACACTCTCTCTCTCTCTCTCTCTCTCTCTCTCTCTCTCTCTCTGCAATAAAAAACTCAAAGTTGTCTTAAAAACACTTTTCCTTAACTGTGGATAAATCTGGAATGCCATCACAGCCTTCGTGCTGCTCAGTGACATTGCTAGCAGGAAGCTTTGGGATGCTTCCTAGCACACATACAAGAACAAGAAGCCTTCACATTAGCTAAGTTACCAGCTCACCATTGAGACCCGTCACTCTCAGATGGCTTAAAATTCAAATAGGGAGGAGAGAAGGCTCAGGGCTATGAGAGCTCTGTCTATCTTGCAGAGGACCTGCACCCACACGGCAGCTTATAACCACCTGTGACTCTAGTCCTAGGGGCTCTGATCCCCTCTTTTGTCAGTCTTGGGCACCAGGCATACAAGTGATGCATAGACAGACACGTGGACAAAACATGTATACACATAAAATAAAGTCTGGAAAAGTCTACAGTGAAAATGAAGCTTTTATGGTTACTAGGTCTAACCTGGGCCAAATGCAGCACTATGGTGTAAATGCTGTATTTCTTGTTACGCAGGGCATGATCAACACTGCACACTTGCAAAGCGCATGCACCATTCTGACTGTAAGTGTCAGAATGGGTATAACCACATGTGCAAGGAAAATGCCACAGATATTACTTGGGGCTCTCAGAATATAGTGGTTTACTGTCAGTTCAAGGACATCCCCAAAACTCAAGGGGAAAAAAAGGCATATTAGTTCAGTATCTGTGACAGTTTTCAAAGCATACATATAAGAGATTCACTGACCTGGTCAATGCTGAAAAACCCGGCAGTCTGTAATACTTGACACAAGGATTCCACTAGTTTCATCTTGTCCACAGGGTCCATCCCTTTATTTACAATTTCAAATAAACAGTCGCATGCTTCTTCCCGTAGAACTTCTACTGACATGTGACCTAGCAGCATATTTATAAACCTGGTGACAGGGGAATAAAGATATTAACATTTTTGGTTCACTTTAATGTCAGTTTTCTGTTTAAAAATTATAGGCATACGCACCTATCATTGGCTATAAGGGATAAGTCTATCCAAGAGACGTAAGCCCCAACTACTTCAAGGCACTGGCACAGCACTTCTGAATTAGTATACTGGTAATTGTGTAAAATCTGGTACCACGATTCCACCAGATTTGGAATGCACTGTTCTCTCATGGTATCTTTTATCAGAGTATTCCTACGAGCTTCCTAAAAACACAAAAGACAAGAAGATTATGAAACAGCGCTAGGCATCCAAGTACAGTTGCACAGTGACTTCCTCTACACGAAATCTCCAGGCTTGTTAGGCAGCCCCCACCATGACTTCCTAGTTATCTGCTCTAAAATTATATCCTGTGATTCTTTGTGTTTCCTTTTCCGTTCTATTCCTTGGTGCCAGACTTCATTCATTAAATATAAACTACAAATAAGCATTGCTTAGAAATTTTAACCATGTGAAATTCTAAATACCAGACAAAAATGATATTTAAGCTATTTAGAAAAAAAGGCAATGACTTAAATGTACAGTGGTTACAATCGTCTTAAAATATTATATACATATAAAGTTATTTCGGGGGGGGGTTTCTTAAGGAGATAGGTCTCTCTGTATGTCACTCAGGAGGGCCTCCAACTTGAGGCCACCCTGCCTGCCCCAGTTTCCCAAGCCAGCTAAAATCCCCACACTCTTTACCTTACTTTTATACTGAAGTGACAGAGATCAAATCTGGGGCCTCCTGCACATGAGGCAGGGGCTCTCCTCCTTCCTCCATCCCTTTGCACTACTTACTTTAGGAATAGGCTCGACTAAGGCTGCACCTCAGCAGTAAAGATTCCTTGGCAGCGATGAAACACTACAGTAAATTACTAGCACCACTTAACAACAAACAAAAGGCAAAGGAGACGTCTAGATACATAAATAGAGACTAGAGTGGAGGGCTCGGGCACCATGACTGCAGAGACTATGGAGGCAGTGGCACTGGCAGGCACATTCACAAGCCACTCATTTTCACTTGTTCAAGCATTCAGTGTGGACGGCATTTCACAGGAACTATGACAAAATAAATGTGTGCTTCACTGGCGACAACACTGCCTTAGTTTTAAAAATCTCACGTTGTGCTCTAATTTCAATCTTCAATGGTGGGAGGGGTTAAACTTCACTGTCAGCCTATTCAAGATACTAGGACATGCAAAAGAGCCAGGCAGTACTTGGGAGGCAGAGGCGGCTGGATGTCTGTGAGTTCCAGGACTGCCTGTCTACAGAGTGAGTCCAGGACAGTCAGAGCTACACAGACAAACGCTGTTTGGGGGGAGGGGCAAACAACATGCAAAAGATAAGACTCCTGGGAGAGATGGCTCAGGGTTAAGAACACTGACCGCTCTTCAGAGGACCAGGATTCAATTCTCAGCACCCACATGGCAGCTCACAACTGTCTTTAACTCCAGTACTAGGAGATCTGATACTTTCACACCAATGCACATAAAATAAATTATATAAAAAAAGGTAAGACCATGTCCTTTTCACCATATGCTCCTCTCCCCCACAAAACGTGTGACGCTACTTGCCTCTGACGTGTGAACCACATCGCGGTCCACCAACTCTGAATCAATGGCCATGAGGATTCGCAGGTACAGATCCACTCCCCTTGGGTTTAGGTCCACAACTGAGAGAATGTCAAAAAAAAACTTGGGCCATTTAGTAAGATACTCTGTAACAAAAAGCAAGGCGAAGACTTGGGCTGCTTTATTTCGTATGAAGGTCTTCTCTGGTTGTGGATTCAGCATCTGGCAAACAGAAATATCCATGAAATTAAATCCAAACTATTCAAAAGCACATTAGTTTTTTGTATTTATCATCAGTTGGCCAAAACAAACAAACAAAAACAAAAAATTAAACCCTGCCCAGATTAGCGGCAGCACAGCAAACTGCAAAATTACCCATGTGTGCAGGTAACCAGTCACATGACGAGCAAGTGAATAATGCCTGTCTCTTAGAATGTGTATTTTCCTACAGTGTTGGGGATAAATCTGTATCTTACTCAAACATTCTACCAGAGATGCAGCCCAGCCCTTCCTCCTCCCCAAAGGGGGTAGGGGAAGCAGGGGGTTCTTTGCCTGATTTGAGTCAGGGTCTTCCTAAGTAGCCCAGGTTGAACTCACTCCAAGGGATCCACCCGACTTTCTGCCTGCATGGGATCAAAGGTTTGAGACACCTTACCCAACCCAGGTCTTGTTTTTATGTGACAAAGTCTAGTATGCAGCTTAAGTTGGCCTTTAACTTGTTTAAACACCAGGCTGGCTTCAAAATCACAATCTTCCTGCCTCCAGCTCCAGAATATTGAGATACAGGCATGAACCAAGGGGTCTCATTTACTAAGCTCCATGTATAGAATCTCTTTCTCCCTCTCCCTTTCCATCTCCCCCTCCCTCTGAGACACGGTTTCTCTGTGTAGCCCTGGCTGTCCTGGAACTCGCTCTGTAGGTCAGGCTGACCTGGAACTCAAGAGATCCATCCACCTGCCTCTGCATCCCCAGCGCTGGGATTAAAGGAGTGCCACCACAACCACCACTACCCAGATCACAGAACTCCTTCTAAGAAAAACATTCAACTGTTTTTCTTTTGCTGGATTGTAAAGTAAAACACTGTAGCGGCTTTATATGTTAAGTTTAACTAAAATTAACCAAAATAAATATTCTGTGAAAAAACAACTCTACTAGCCTTTTAAAGGGGCCTTTGTAAAGAGGCTGTCAACACAGGCAACTCTGAGGACCAAACAAAAAAGCAGTTACTGTCATATAGTTTAATAATGTCATACACACTGGGGGCTAGAGAGACAGCTCAGCAGTTAAGTCCATGTACTGCTCATGCAGAGAACTTGAGTTCAATTCCTACAAACCCACATGGGCAGCTCACAGTCACCTATAACTCTACTTCCAGGGGATCTACCACCTGCTTCTGGATTCTGTGGGTGCCTACAATCAGGTGCACATACCTACACACAGAAACACTCATATACACATAATGAAAAAAACGGAAGCTTAAAAACTGTTTTCTTTAAAACGTTACTTTTTATAGCCAAGTTCCAGGCAGGTGTGGTGGCAAGGTGCCTTTAACCCTGGGAGCTGGAAAGCAGAGACAGGAGTACCAGGCCAGTCAGGGCTACAAACTGAGACCCTGCCTCCAAAAAGAAGTTCCCATAACATGTTATGGAAAGTACAATGGTTTTGGTTATTATTGTTTTGACCCATGATCTTCAAGACCAGCACTTTAAGTACAAGAGAGGAAACCGCTTGCTGATTAAGGCACCGAATGAACTGAATGAAATGAACTATTTTACCTGAGCTTGAAGCCACGACAAGAGTGTCTCCCTGATCAGCTGTTGTTGAGCTGTGCTGAGTTCTGAGTACCTGTTAAAGGGACAACAGTGACAGACTACATTTGCTGTCTGCAGCTTTGAATACAAATCTCACCTATCAAAAGACAGAGTTTTACAGCATCCCAATACTGGGTTTCCTAAATACACTGCAGTGTCCAATAACACAGTTGCAAATGCACGCATGAGCCTGTCAGATAGGCCAGTCAGCGATCTCAGATCTGTGACTCAGTTCACACTCAAACAAATGACAGCTATGGGATTTTTTAAACCAACCATGCACTGAGCTCTGTGGACTACAGAATAAGCCTGTAGACTGGCTAGCTCAGTGTAAATAAATCAAAACATATTCGTAGCCCGGATATCATTACTACACTGGTAGTTTGCTATCTGTACTTTGGCTTCCTCAAGGACAGAAAAACAAACTAAAACATGCCTGTTCCAACAAATCTTTAAGATTAAAAACAATGAAAAGGCTTACTTGTATTTAACTTGATGTTCTAATACTTGGAAGCAGAAAAACTTTATGTGATCATCACTGGAAAAGAAAAAAGAGTTAGATAATCAGAAAAGAAATTGGGGAAAACAATGGCAAAATACCAGTAACAACCGTGAGGTCTCTACAGCTAGGCTTCTTTCTTGCCTGGCTTTCTATTTACCAATTCTATTTTACTTATTTTTATTGTCTTTTTTGTTTGATGGTGCTGGGTACCTAACTTGGGGCCTTGTAAATTATAGGCAAAGGCTTCACCAATCAGCTACAGGCCCAAGCCCTGGGTTTAAAGGATTAAGAAGAGCTTTAAATACAATTCACAATATGTGGCGGAAACTTACATTTTATAAGCAACATAGCCTCATGCTCTGATACACTCCTTAAACAGAGTACTCTGTAAGTAGAGGCCACTGCTCCAAATTCTAATGTGCAGAGTCAAGGTTCCTGGAACAATTTCTGTGCTTTGCTTTAGAACAGTTAGGAAGATGCAAGATGAAAAACATCACAGCAGTAAGAGACTGACCAAACCAAGGATGCCGTCTATGGCCTACCCGATTGTAAGCATTAGTCAGTTCTCTTCTCTTACAGGCAGATTCAAAATAAACGGGGTAGGACAACTAAGTCCACTCTCAAAGTTCACACACGAAACTAAACAAACCCATCTTTGTGAGATGGGAGAAAAACAAAACCAAACCAAACAACCCCACAGCGGTCCATTATCTAACTCCCTCTAGGGGTAATACGGCCAACAATTCTGGGAAGATTCCTTTGGAGTTGAGGGACCTGCTCAGTCCAGATGGAGGCTGCGTGAGACACGCTTTGTGAGGGGACACTGTCTCCTATGAAAAGAGCAGTCCAAGTAGGAATGCAGACACTCCAAGATGCTCAAGAAAAACAGGTCTCGGTAAACTCAACCAGGCTGCAGTGGAACAAGATTACAGGCCGGAGCTCCAGCACGTTCAGCCAGAGGGCCACCACTAAGGCCCTTGCTTCCACTCCCAACAGCGAGCTGCCTGTGTCCTGCTAGCCAGCTGGTTCCCAGCAGCTTCACTATGCCAGTTTTTCTTCCTTAATAAGAAGCTAACTTAACTAAGGATGAAGTGAGTATACAAGTTTTTACTGCCATGAACTATGTTTGCTGCCTCAGAAAGACTACCCAGAAAGCCACACTGCGACAGGGGAAGGCTTTCCACACGTGGTATGTGTATGGCCTCAGTAATCAGAGAACTGATGGCTGCAGGTAAAGAGTGTCAGGCCTATTTCACCATTCCTGAATTCTCCTCAGAGGCACATGCTGGAAACGCCCCGGGTGGCCTTTGCCTGTCATCAACAGAACCTTGGCTCCAACACCAAAGCAAAGTAATTGAATATTGATACACCCTACTAGAAAACTTTAAGATATTTGTCATTAATGACCAACTCTTTCACTAACTTCCAACAGTAAGACAAGGATATTATAGCCTATTCCAGGGAACAATACACATAAAGAAAAGGATAGTTTGGGCTGGAGAGATGGCTCAGCAGTTAAGAGCACTGACTGTTCTTCCAGAGGATCCAGGTTCAATTCCCAGCACCCACATGGCAGCTTACAACTGACTGTAATTCCTGGATCCAACACCTCCATACAGACAGGCAAAACATCAATAAAGCAAAAATAGATAAATTTATATATATATAAAAAAAGGTAGTTTTACTGAAAAATCAGTTCAGTACCGGTTTAAAAGTTGGTTTGCTATTTTTCTCTTTTCTAAAAGGCAAGCCACAAAATGTTTTTATGAAAACACTTCCCAAAGAGAAACTTAAAATGTTTCATGTTCGCCTGGCAGTGGTGGTTCATGCCTTTAATTCCAGCACTCAGGAGGCAGAGGCAGGATAATCTCTGTGAGTTCAAGGCCAGCCTGGTCTACAAGAGCTAGTTCCAGGACAGCCTCCAAAAAAAACAGAGACACCCTGCCTTGAAACAAAAAAGCTTCATGTTCATAGACTATAGAGCATTTGCCTTAATTACCTGTATGTCTTCTGTGCCAAAGCCTCGGCACACACCTGCCAGGCATCTGGGGAAATCTTCAACTGCTCAAAATAAGCCAGGGCCTGAAAGATTGCAAAACAAAGCAGCGCAGTTGGTTCCGAATTCGGATGCCCTGAGCACACTAAACAAAGGGTGGAGTGAACCAATAATCAACAACAATCTGGGCTTAATACACCAATGAAAATATCCAACCCGGCAAAGTCCAGATGTTTCCCACAAATAGATCCGTTATCAGACACCCAAAACAGTTTCCTTATGGTAAAGATGCTGCAAGAACGCCCTGCAGATATCACTGGGCTATGACAGAAGAAATGCCTAAGTGCTTCTCAAGGCAGTAATATTGAGATATATACAGTCGTAAAGGGGTCCACAAGCACACTGTAAGTAAATGCTAAACAAAAACCCACAGAACTTCCAATGACTAGTCTAGGATGGACAGAGGGTAGTGGGTGAGAGGGGAGAGGCGCCAATCTCTTTAACAAGCCCCACCTTCTAGGCTAGTGAACACTTTACTCGGTGCTAGGAAAGAGGCACAAACGCACAGAAGCCCTTGGCCCTTCAAACGATTTCTTCCATTTGGCTGTTTCTGAGCTGTATCCTTTATATCAAGCTGGCATTATTAAGTCCACTGCCTTTCTGAGTCCTGACTCATTGTAGTCAATTGTCAAATCTGTGCAGGATTTGGTAGTCCTTCATTTAGCAAGCAGTCATCAGAAGTACAGAGGGGCCAGGTGGTGGTGGGACATCTTTAATCCCAGCACTTGACGCAAGTACAGATGGTCTGGATTCACAATTGGTATCTCAAGTGGAGGACAGTCTTGGGAGACCTGACCCTAATCCTTGGTAATGTCAGAGTTCCTACAAAACCCAAGACTACCATTGGGAACATTCCAGGAGCAAGGACAGTGGACAAATGACGTGGCCTATGCATGTTGCTAATAAATCACAATAAAGGGGAGGAGTCCATCAGCTAAATCTCTCACTAACACATGGTTTTCTTTCTCAAGCAACAGCAAAGGCCAGGAATGCAGCTCAGGAGGTAGGGTGCTGGCCTAGCATAGGAGCCCCGGGCTAAATCCTAGGCGCCATCTAAATCAGGTGTGGCCACGCTTGTCTATTATCTAAGTACTCAAGAGGTGTAGGTGGTAGGGCCAAACTTCAAGGTCATTCTCAGCCACAAGTTTGAGGCTAGCTTGGGCTACATTCTGTTTTCTGTCCCAAACAAAGCAAAACAAAGTAACAGAGCTAGCAAGGTAGCTCAGTGTGTGAATTCTGATTCCTAGAACCCACCTGGTGGAGGAAGAGGAAACAGACTTCTGCAATTTGCCCTCTGAATACATCCGCATACACCATGGCAGGCTCACTATGCTCTTGCCCATCAAATAGATACATGTAAAAACTAACCCCCCCAAGCCCTCCCCAGCCCAACCAGATCAACAAACAAATGAAAGCAGACAAAAGGGGCTGGGGAGATTTATTTCTCAGGAGGTGAAAAGAGCTTCCCGCCTCTGTGCCTTGAGATTGAGTCCAGAACCCACATAAAAGTGGGAAGAGAGATGATTCTCTAAGTTGTCCCCTACATCAACACAAATGCCATTGGACAATAATAGAATTTCCTTTCTTTCTTTTTGTAAAATTTCTTAAAAGAAGGAAAACTAGGCTGGGCGTTGGTGGCACACGCCTTTAATCCCAGCACTCGGGAGACAGAGGCAGGTGGATCTCTGTAAGTTCGAGGTCAGCCTGGCCTACAGATCGAGTTCCAGTACAGCCTCCAAAACAATACAGAGAAACCCTGTCTCGAAAAGCCAAAAAAAAAAAAAAAGGAAAACTAGTAAACTAGTTATGGTGGACTACTGCAGTAACTCCCAACAATCTGGAAGCTGGAGCAGGATGACTGTTGGGAGTTCAAGGTGAGTACCAGACCAGTCTAGGCAACACAGCAAGATGCCGCCTGAAACAAACAGAACAATGTTTGCAAGACAGCTCCGATAAAATCCCTGGGAACCCATACAGCGAAAGTTGTTCTCACAAACAAAACAAAGCAAACCAGGTAAAGTTCAATACTAAGGACTGTGCCTAGGTTCAATTCCCAGATAACAGCCTAGACAGAAAGCCATCGAAAGCAACTCCTAAAAATTGTAATTAGGGAAGCCGGGCGTTGGTGGCTCACACCTTTAATCCCAGCACTCAGGAGGCAGAAGCAGGCAGATCTCTGAGTTCGAGGCCAGCCTGGTCTACAGAGTGGGTTCTAGACAGGCACCAAATCAATACAGAAAAATCCTGTCTCAAAAAAAAATTGTGCTAAGGAGCTGGAGAGATAGCTCAGTGGTTAAGAGCATGGCTAGTCTCCCAGAGGACCTGAGTTCAATTCCATTCCCAGCACCCACATGGCAGCTTACAGCTGCAATCACATAAAATAGTTAAATGCATTATTTAAAAAAAATTATGATTAGGACCAAAAGCCAGAGACCTTGAACATGACCAACACCTCATCACAAAGAACAGCTTCGAGTGAAGCTGCCTGGATAAAGGCGTACACTGCACGACACACCGCAGCTCCCAATGCCGCTGAGACAGAGGGAGGGGTGATGCAGAGGCCGGAAAGATGGAGGAGGGCAGTGGTTTGGTTTTTCTAATTAATATATTTTCTTAAATTTTAAAAAATTTTCCTATGGAGGGCGCTTCAAGGGTGAAGGGGAAACATGGAGGGACTGGGAAATGAGTGGGATTGGGGTGCATGACATGAAATTCCCAAACAATCAATGAAAAATTATGATAAGGATGCTAAAGTGTAGCTCTTCACAGCTCATGGCTTCTGGAAGGGGTGAGGTGCGGAAGGACTAGTGTTCTCTAAGGGACTAGTCACTGGGAGTTTGACCATGTTCCTGTGAGTATATGGGCAACACAAATTGAACTTTTTTTTTCCTTTTTTTGGGGGGGGGGGAGGTGGCTTTGGAGGTGAGACCTGGGAGACCTGGGAAGAATTGGGAGTGTGCTGAGGGTTCATGATGTGAAATTCCCAAATAATGAATAAAAACATGATAAAAACAAACAACAAACACCCCCCCATCACCCGACACATATGAAACAGCCAAAAGCTTTTAATTACCATCGGCATGCAACATCAAGGTAGGCTAAAGGCCAGACTGCAAGGTCTCAGCTACTGTGAGAGCAGCTGGTTTAAATCCCTATGAAAATACAAGTGCTTACACATGAAAAGTCTGACTTCTAGGTTCTTGAGATACTGACATCTAGATTCCTATCATTTGCCACATTTGGGGGGGCTAGTCACTTATTTATCAGCAGAGGCAAATATCATATCATCAGAAACTGGGAGGTATTTGTTTTTTTTTTTAAACCATTTTAAAAGAAGTTTCTAATCCAATGCAGCTGTAATGCTTAGGTTGTTAACTTTAGCTCACTTACAGCAAGCTCTCTACTTTGCTATAAGGAGTAGGAAGAAAGAAAAACCCTTCCTTCCTCTGGTCCTAAACTTCTGAACACTCACGTCTTTAAAAATTAATTAAAGGCTTATTCTTTTAGTGTCTTCTTTTTCACTCAGTTAAAGTCCTCGGCAGATTTATAGGCTACATTAGGTTTAATTGTTTACATTTACCCAAGTATGCCAGCATCTCCAAATGGATTTCTTGTCACAAAATCGTTTCATGCAACTTAAGGTGTGGCATATCAAAACTGCTTATTTCCAGTCTGCAAAGACTAAATAACAAGGAGGCTCGCTGTCCACAACACAGGAGTGAAAGAACTTCCAGTCCAAGGCGAGCAATGGGAAAGTAGAGCACACGCTAGGCACTCAGGTCCTGCAAAAGTTTTTTACCTTGGAAACTGTGTTACAACTCTGCAACAAAAAAATGACAAGGACCTGCCTTCGCAGGTCAGGTTTCAGCACCCTGGTTCAACCCATTAAACAAAAATCAATCACAGCACCTGATGTTTCAATATTCAGAACATACCACCTCAAGTCTGTCTGGTCCTATTAATGCTTACTAAAGTCAGATGTGTTTTCTTAAGCCCTCCAATGCACCTTTGTGATGGCACGCGTTTAAGAAGGACTAAGTCGACGGACTTACCCTCTGCCGAAAGTCTGAATCAGCATTTGGGTTTAGCCCTAAAAGAGCCTGTTCATCCATGTCTGCTGTTATTCCTGGAGTTTTCCGATCACAACAGATGTGGCTTCTAATCCCACAGAAGAATCCACAATCATCTGCGCACAGAAAACAATAGACGGTTATCTGGAATATAAGAAGTGGCTGAAAAAGACAACCCTGAAGAGGCGAAGTCCACCCTAAGCTCACAGGAGCCTGCAGCACACTCAGGGTCTAATTTTGAAGTCTAAACAAGTACACCATGAAGGCTCTCAGGTGGTACTGTCCTGCAAAGGTCGCCAGTCAAGTACGGAAAGTAACTCTTCCAGAAGCATGCATGCAATGTTGGGGCCGCCTGCTGCACAATGTCTGCCTGGGGAAAATGATATCTATCTTCCCTTGTTTTAGTGCCTGTAAGACTTTGCCTGCACTCAGATATGATCATAAGACATCTTTTTAAAAAGTCAGAATGGTTTGACTCCGAGTTTAATACTCTTCCAGTCACTTATCATTGGAACAGAGTTAATTCTGCCTTTTACAGGTTTCTGCTCCTGTCAGCCAATTCCAGAAATGTATTTAATAAATGACTTCCCTCACTGCAGACCCCCCCCATCCCCACACCAACTTCCCCCCCCCCCCCTGAATTCCTGGAAAGTAACCTAACTTCACAACACACAGTCTAATATACCCAAAGCAGAACATGGTAGGCTCCCAAAGACAGCTAGTTCTTTGACACACAACATATATTTCTGCAACTGGAACAAACTTGAAACAATGTGAATGCTGTTTTCGGGGCTGGGGGATTTGGAGGGTGAAGTACTTCCTGCACTTTGCCCTGGATAAATTGAGTCCCTAGCACCCACGTGAAGGTGTGACAGAATTGGGGAGGTGATGGAAAAACACTAGGCAGATCCTCAAAGCTCTCTAGCCAGCAATAAACTGGTGAGCTCCAGGTTCAGTGAGACCCTGCCTCAAAAAACTAAACTAAAATAAAGATGTGGTGGGGCATGTTTACAGGGGTGGGAGATTAAGAGAGTAAATAGAATGCATTATGTACATATATGAAATTATTTTGAAAATAAGGCATATAGTGAAAGTCAATGGAGGAAGACACCTGATAGAGATCTCTGGCTTCCAAGTGCAAAACATGTGAGCACACAGACACATCAAATACACAAAACACATTTTTCTGGAACAGTGTGAGGGCAGGAAAATTAGTTCTTACATTCCTATTACAAAGCTATAAAGCTTTTTTATTTACCTACTTTTAAATTACCAGAGCTAAGGGGAAATTAAAGAGACCAAGAGGTAAACAGGTCCCGTGCAACCTTTTAGGAATGGTGAGGCCAGTGCCAGGGTGCAGGATCCCTACTGTTCCATTCTCCAAGGTTCTTTGGAATCAGAATCAAGATACGAGATCCCAGAGCCTTGGGAAGGAAGGTCAGCCTCTTCACTCACCACTCATAGCCAACCTGCAGACCACGGCAAAGCAACCCCAATGCCGACTGCCCAGGGGATGAAGATCCAAGCGCTTCTAACAACCAGCCCATACCATGCTGCAGGCTACTCAGCAGGGCTAGCACACAGTACTACCAGGCAGCTCTCAAGTGGCACTCTATGCTATTCACCTTTGCACACACTTGCTCTTTTCAGCTCTGTGGTGAAACCCTGCGGGGCCTTCAACTCACCTCATGCAATAATGTGGCTCTGACCCCTGCTGTCTGACCCTACCAAACTGGATTAGATACTCCTTATAAGCTCTATTTTCTCTCGTTAACCATCAAGAATGAGGACTGTGATACACTCGTCACTATCACTATGTTCCTGTAAATTTTTTGGTTTTGTTTTGAGACAAGGTTTCTCTGTGTAACAGCCCTGGCTGTCCTGGAACTCACTCTATAGCCCGGGCTGGCCTGGAACTCACAAGAGATCCACCTGCCTCTGACTCTGCCTCCCATGCTGGGAGGCCACTGTTCCTGGAGTTTAAAAACACGGGTCTGGGGTTTTAAAAGTTCTGGGTTTGGCCGGGCGTTGGTGGCGCAGGCCTTTAATCCCAGCACTCGGGAGGCAGAGACAGGCAGATCTCTGTGAGTTTGAGGCCAGGCTGGACCGACAGCCTCCAAAAACAGAGAAACCCTGTCTCATAAAACCAAAAAAAAAAAAAAAAGTTCTGGGTTTGACTGGGCAGTGGTGGTGCACACCTTTAATATCAGCACTCGGGGGGCCGAGGCAGATGGATCTCTGTGAGTTGGAGGCCAGCCTGGTCTACAAAGCTACAGAGAAATCCTCCCTCCACACTCCCTCCAAAAAATTTCTGGGTTTTAAGCAGAAGATGACTGGGGTACAGGTTCTTCATTCCCTAGATCCACATGGTGGAAGAGACTCCTATGTGTGTACACAAAAATACACACCTGTACACACACAAGATAAATACATACATGCAAATTTTTAAGTCTTAGGTTTATATTCTAATCTTGTCATTAAAAAACAAAAACCAGCCATTCGTTGCTGGCCCACGCCTTTAATCCCAGCACTTGGGAGGCAGAGGCAGGCGGATCTCTGAGAGTTCGAGGCCAGCCTGGTCTAGAGAGTGAGTGCCAGGACAGCCTCCAAACAATACAGAGAAACCCTGTCTCGAAAAACCAAAAAACCAAAAAAACCAACAAAAAAACAAAACACAACAAAAAACAAAACCAAAAACAAACACACACACACAAACCAACCAAAACCCAGTCATTAGTCAATGTAGCACACTCCTTTTAATCCCATTGCTGGGGTGGGGTGGGAGGTATCTCTGTGACTTCAAAGCCAGTCTGGTATTTCTACAGATTATCTGGCTAGCCAGGGCTACAGTGAGATTTTTGCCTCAAAAACAAAACAAAAATTGAGGCTACACAGAAAACAAAAGTATGCATTCCTTTCTATCAGAGAAAAAAAAAAAGAGGCAAAGTTCTAACGACTACTCTGTAGGCAAAGCATGTCTCCAATAGCTAATAAACTCAGAGGTAGGCACACAGGATGGACTATTTGAAGCATTCTTAAACTAGAATGGCATTTTGAGTAGATGGGAAAGCAAAATGGTTCCACCAGGGAAAGTAAAGTATTATTCCTTTAAGAATGCTCAGAGAGCGCTGGGCAGTGGTGGCGTACGCCTTTAATCCCAGCACTCGGGAGGCAGAGGCAGTCAGATCTCTCTGTGAGTCCGAGACCAAGCCTGGGCCTGGTCTACCGAGCGAGTTCCAGGACAATACAGAGAAACCCAGTCTCAAAAAAAACCAAAAAAAAAAAAAAAAAAAGAATACTCAGAAAATTCGGTTTAAGAACTTATGTAAACCCCTGATTGAGAACCTTATAAAACTTCCTTTCAATTATCCACTGCTTTGGGGAAAAACTGCTTCAACTTTGCCATTTCACTCTAATCTTGAAATGAGAGAGGAAGGGAAAAAAGCCTCATGGAACACAACAAAAACAAAACAAAAAACCCTAAGCAAACTTGCTACAGTTATCTATAAAGAAGGAATCCCTCACAAACCCTCGCCATTTACATATTCGGAAAAAAAAACACTAGGGTGATCAAAATAAAATGTTCAACTATCTGTGAACAAAGCATTGAAAAGCTATGCTAGTGTTAAAAGGTAACAAACTCTATTCCAATAGACTGGGAAAGGACTCTTAGTATTACTCTGACCCACAGAGCCTAGCAGGCTTAAACATTGTTACAATATGGTGAACATTTTATTCAACCTGCAAATGCATAGGTGGACTAAGCCGGGGTGGGGGAGGGAGGCGAGAAATAAACTACGAAACTATAATTTTTTTCTCTTAGCCATCAAGTCAATAACCAAACAACGTGGAAAATTCCTGCACACCTACTTAAGCCTGTTTGAGACCGACTTAATCTTTCCAGCTTTTTAACATCAAGTTGACAAGTCGCTTTAATACAACGTAACTTCCCCCAGTAACAACTAATGAAAGCTTTCAAAAAGTACTCGTTTTTCAGGTTACAGGGGAACATCACGCTTCTCCACTGCTGGAAGACTGTAACGAAGCCAAGACTGGGGCGGGGGGACTATGGGTGCTGGCAAATTACTACCAAGAAACAGCACTTCTTTCTCCTGTTTGTCCCAGGGTGGGGAGCAACATATCAACTTGAGGTCTCTACAGCTGAAACTGGTGGGACACCAAAACTATTACAAATGGGGTTGGGGAGCAGCCTCCTAGGCCGGCCTCGCCCCCTATCCTAAGCCCCGATGACTCCCTGGGCGAAGCCTCGTGGCCACCCGGGTGATGAAACACCCGGCAACCGGCAGTCACACGCTCGGGACGTGGTCGCCACCGCTCGTCCCCAACCCCAAGCCCGGCCCGCCCGGCCACGCAGGGTCCCCGGCCCGCCGCCCCCCAGGCTCCAGTCACCATCACTCCAGTCTCCCTTCCTCGCCGGCACTCCCGATGGGCCGGCCGGCCGCCGGGAGCGGCGCCGCACGCAGGGAGGACGGCGAGCGGCCCTCGTCCTTGTCGCGGTAGTCCTCCGCTACAAGCCGCTGCGCTAGCGCCGGAGCCGAGCTGGCCCGGGCCGCGCTCCTCTCGGCGCCGGCTCGGCGTCCCCGAGCGCCTTCTCCTGCGTGGCGCGGAGCGGGGCGGGCAGGTTGGCAAGCCGGCGGGCGGGCGGGCGGGCGGGCGGGGTCGGCGGCCTGGGAAGGGAAACTGCGCAAGGGCCCCCGCTAACGCCGCCGCTGAGTCAGCGCGAGGCACGCCCCCCGCGTCGTGCCGCGCGGATCGGCGCCAGCAGCAGCCGCAGCAGCAGAAGCCTCATGGGGTGTGCAAGACGGACGCCCGCGGGCCAGGACCCCCGGGACTACAACTCCCAGGATGCTACGAACGCGCAAAGGACGCTTCCGGGCGGCAGGCCGCACACGTGCTCCCTGGAGCTCGCAGGGGGCGGGGCGGGGGCGGGGCCGACGGGGCTGTGGTGCATGTCGGGAGAGAGCATCCGGCCCTCCCCTGAGCAGGTTACTGCGGTTCTGTAGGGTTTTCAGTGACCTGCCACGTTGGGCCCCGCCTTGAGCAGTAAGCTGAAGTGTGCTCCACGTCTTCTCGAGAGGACTGGTCACAGGTGGCAGATGGCTTAGAGGACTGGGCTCCTGGGATCAGAGAGAGCATGCGGTTTAGACCACGTGCCGAGCCAGTTGTTGAATTCCTTTCGTGGGGTTCCACGTGTCAAGAGTTCAGAAGCTTGAGGATCATGAGAGCTCACAGCCTTTTGCAGTGAATTCACTGTACTTTCACACTCAGTATCCTAAGCTGGTCACTTTTTTTTTTCTTTTGTAAGTTAACTTAGGCTGGCCTAAACTCCAGCAGTTCTCCACCCTCAGTCCCCCAAGTCCCAGGAATTACAGGCGGGAGCCACCATATCCAGTTTAGATGTTTCTAATTTTGCCTACGAAAAGACAAGCGTTCTGAATGAAGGTGGCGCACACTTACTAATCCCAGCACTCGGGAGGCAGAGGCAGGTGGATCTCTGTGAGTTCGAGGTCAGCTTGGTCTACAGAGTGAGTTCCAGGACAGCCAGGGCTACACAGAGAAACCCTGTCTCGAAAACAAACAACAACAAAAAAACAATAACAAGAAACAAGGGAAAGTGTTTATAAGAAGTCTAGTGCTTATGTTCTTTACTCGCTCATGTCCAATGTTGCTTTTTTAATTTGATCCCAAATTATTGTTACTTTGTGGGAACAGTATAAACGCCAGCTGCTTGGATCTGAATCCGAAGCCTGGTTCTTCCTTATTGTTGGTTTTAGGTATGTTACTAAGTCCATCTCAGTTCTTATTTTATGTCGAGTGGGATAGTACCAACCTCACTTTATTTACAGACAGATTCTCACTGTGTATTTCTGGTTAGCCAGAAACTTGCTGATCTCCAACCTGAGGGGATTCTCTTGCCTCTAGCTCCAGAGTGGTGGGGTTCCAGGAGCCACTGGGTCTGGCTATTGTAAGGTTTGTTAATACATGTGCTAGACATAGCTGTGTGACACTATTCCTGGGGATACATGAACGAACATTGCTTCAGACAGGTGCTTAGATTGGGTACTGATGACAGACCAAAGTGAGGATACACCGAAAGTCTAGCTCCGGGAACCAATGGCTTTTACTGGGGTTATTTACAGGAACAGAAATGACTTACAGACACATTGAAACCTTTGAGTTGCTCACTTCCTGAGTTTAAAGAGTTTGCTTGCAGGATGGAATGTTTCAACTCCCTTTTAATACCTGATATTTTGCTGGGCGTTGGTGGCGCACGCCTTTAATCCCAGCACTCCAGCACTCAGGAGGCAGAGGCAGGAGGATCTCTGTGAGTTCGAGGCCAGCCTGGTCTATAGAGTGACTGTCAGGGCAGCCTCCAAAGTAAGTTGCAGAGAAACTCTGTCTCGGAAAACTGAATCAAAACAAAAAAAAACCTTATGTCTTAAGGATCACTCTGCTATAATGGATGGTATTAAACCCAGAGGAAACAACACAGGGAATTCAACGTTTAAATTTTTTTTTTTGATACAGTGTCTCACTATGTAGCTCTGGATGTCCTGCAACTCAGTCTGTAGTCTGACTTTGAACTCACAGAAATTCACCTGCCTGCCTCTGCTGCCCAAGGGCTGAGATCAAAGATATGTGCTACTATACCTAACTCACCATTTAGATTTAATATCTGATTATTTGGTACATACTGAATAAAGGCTAGATGCAGTCAGAGACTCCGAGAAGAATGAACAGGCTTGACCTGTTCTGCAAGCCTGTAATCCAGACTCCATGGCAAGCTGAGGCAGGAGGATCTCAAATTCAAAGCCAGCAGGGGCAAAATAGCTATACCCAATCTTAAAAACTAAATAAAGAAGTCTAGAGGTATAGCTCAGTGTTAGTGTGCTCATCTCACACACACACACACACACACACACCCCCCGCCCTAACTTTAATTCCTAGTACAGTGGTTCTCAACCTGTGGGTCTTGACTCCTGTGGGGAAGGAGGTTGAATGACCCTTTAATGGGGGTCACATACGACTATTGGAAAATACAGATATTTACATTACAATTCAAAACCGTAGTGAAATTACAGTTGTGAAGTAGCAACAAAAATAACTTTATGGTTGGGAGTCAGCACTTCATGAACGGTGTCAAAGGGTTGCAGCATTAGGAAGGGTGAGATCCATTGCCCCAGTAACACAAAAGAGAGCTAACAAAACTTGAGAGTGGAGTGAGGAGGGGAGTGAGAAGGGAGTGGAATAAAACCGGTGTAACAGCTACATTTATTTATTGATGCCACTAAAATTCTTTCCCAGGGGGAGTGGTAAGCAAAGTCCATCGCCTCTTTTTCAAGTCAGGGTTTTTCTGTGTAGCTTTGGAGACTGTCTGGAACTTATTCTGTAGACCAGGCTGGCCTCAAACTCACAGAGATGGCTTGCCTCTGCCTCCCAAGTGCTGGGATTAAAGGTGTGCACCACCACTGCCTGGCAAAGTTTTTGTTTTTTTTTTACTGTTCCACATCTTTCAACTAATTTTGTTTATAGAGGCAGGGTCTGCTGGGTACCCTAGGCTAGCCCCTCCTGGCTCAGCTGGGATGATACCAGTGAATCACCATGCTCTGTCCTTGCCTCCCTCTTCTTCCACTTGTCAGAGTTCTTGAAAGAATATGGTGAGCAGTACACAGTCACTGTCCTTTCTCACCTGGTCCTCCTTTACAAGCACTAACTAGCATCATCATTAAATTCATAGATAAACCTGCTCTAAACTCACTGCTCAGAAAGAAGTAGGAACTTGATAGTCTAGTCTCTTGAATTAACATTTCTTTTTTGAGACAGGGTTTCTCTGTATTGTTTTGGAGGCTGTCCTGGAACAAGCCTGGCCTCGAACTCACAGAGATCCACCTGTCTCTGCTTCCCAAGTGCTGGGATCAAAGGTGTGCGCCACCAGCGCATGGCAGATTCAGAATTTCTTGACTCTAGAAACCATATTTGTCCCTCAGCTTCTTTGTTTTTGTAATGACTTCTCCACAGTCATTCACTAAATACACCAGTGTCCCAACTGTGTTAGTCAGGAATCTCTAAAGGCATAGAGGGGACAGGAGGAATATACATTATGCATGTGTATGTAAGATGTAGGAATATATACATGTATTATATGTAGGTATACATAAAGGGGATTCATTAGAGTGGCTTACAGGCTGTAGTCCAGATAGTGCAACAATGACTGTCTCCAGCAGAAAGGCCAAGAATTCGGTAGCTGGATGTCTCATCTGGTGCTGGAGTCCCTGGGGATTCTGAAAGAGGTGTTGGTCTTCCGTTCACATGGAATCCCAAAGAAGTCGGTTCTAATACCATAGAAAGAACGTCTCTGCAGCAGGATAAATTAACTCACTAGCAAGAGTGAGGGCAAGCATGCAAAACAAAACAAAACAAAAAAAGCAAAAGCGTCCTTCTTCCAAATCCTTTTATGAAGGCTGTTACCAAAAGGTGTGGCCCAGATTTTGTGTGGGACTTCCCAACCTCAAGGGGTCTAATCAAGAAAATTCCCCCAGACCCTTTGGGTTTTAGTTGATTCCATATTAATAGACAACCAAGATTAGCTGTTACACCAATGGAATGTCCAGGTTTCTTAATTTATATATTTCTTTCAACTGCTCTAATACTATTTCTTTCATCCTTTAATTTCTTTTTGCCCATTATTTCTGGCATCATGATATTACCTCCTTTGACTACTCCACTTCCTCATTTTGCCTTATTACTGTTGTCCTCAGTCCTTTGATTTTCTTTCGTGTAGTCTTATCCCTTCAGTCGTCACCAATTTCCATAGTTTCAACACTTGATGCTAGGCTAATTCCCTGCAGTTAGTTCTATACTTTTGGCTAGGTTTTTGTTTTGTTTTGTTTTGTTTTGTGGGACAACATCTCACTTGGTAGTACAGGCTGTTCTAGAACTCCATGTAGCCTTTGAGGGATCCTGAGTCCATCCTTGCCTTATGCCCTTCTGTTTCCCAAATCCTGGGATTACAGGCTTTAGCCGCCACACTGGTTCTGTGGGCTAGTTTTCAATGTTCTGCACCCACAATTTATTATCCGTTCCTCCCAAGTGCAGATGTTAGAACTCTGATCTCACTGTGGTGGTATTTGGAGGTGGGGTTTTGGGAAGGTAATTAGTACATAAGGGTAGAGCTCCCTCATTATACAGAAAAGTTCCATTTCTTTCCTCTGGAGGTTATGAGAAAACAGTTCTGAGCTGGATTAAAGGTGGTGGTGGTGCACACCTTTAGCCTCAGCACTTGGTGGGCAGAGGCAGGTGGATCTCTGAGTTCAAGACTACCGTGGTGTACAGAGTGAGTTCCAGGACAGCCAGGACTGCTGTTACTTGGAAAAACTAATAAAAGAAAAAGCTTCTGAAGCCGGGTGTTGGTGGTGCACGCCTTTAATCCCAGAACTCGGGAGCCAGAGGCAGGCGGAGCTCTGAGAGTTTGAGGCCAGCCTGGTCTACAGTGTGAGTTCCAGGATAGCCTCCAAAACAATACAGAGAAACTCTGTCTCAGAAAGCCAAAAAAAGAAAAAAAGAAAAAGAAAAAGAAAGAAGGAAAAGAAAAAAGAAAAGGAAGAAAGAAAAAGCTTCTGCCAAAACAAACAAACCAACCA